AAGGGTAAAATTGAAAAAAAAAAAAAAAGAAGAAACAAAGGAGAAGCGTGAGAAACAACATGAACCTTAAGAACCCCTCTGAAAGGTTTAAAATGCTAGCTGTCTCAGACTATAGATGGGTCCCACTGATCTCCGGTCAGCCGCGTACCTTGTCTGTCCACGTGGTGCTCTCTGGCATGCTAAAAGTCACGTGACTTGGCTCCCCACATTGTCGGCTTGTCCCTTTGATGAGACAACCTTTTACTTTTTGGGGTTTCTCTGATAATATGCAATAACTCACGTCTCTCCTCTCGCGGTATTTTCACGATTTCTTTCAGATGTACCAAAAATTACTTTTTCATACCCGTCTCTACTTTTTCGTCTAAATAAAAATAAAATAAAGTGCAAAAAAAAAATTTACATTTTCATGTTATTTTAATTTTATTTAATATAAATATTTAAATTAATTATTTCTAAAATTAATAGATAAAATTTTGTAACAAACCAAATATATAGAATTTTGGTTCACTTTTGATAAAGTATTAGAAATTTTTTTTTTTTGGTGAGAAGCATAATCTTGTCATCTTAAGTTCCAAGTTTAAATCCGGGGCAATCTATTGTCATATCTAAAATAAGATATTAATGTTTCACTTAGTACAATAGAAAAATAAAAGAATAAAAAGTTAGAAGGATAGATAAAATATCTTGTTTGACAAAAAAAATATATAAATAATAGAAAAGTGGATAGATGAATTTTTTTTTTAACTTATCAAAATCATTCCCTCTAAAAAATAGAAAGAAAGTGGATGAAAAGTTAATTATTTATATTAAAATGTATCTTATTTGTCTATATATCTTTTAATATATATTATTATATATATAAATATAATAATAACATATGTATTTAACAATGTTAATGTCGTCACAAAAATAATCCATTTGTGACAATTTTTCATGCATTTATGTTCCGTTTAATAAGAAAGATGAAAAGTAAGAGGAATGAAAAGTATGAAGTATATATTTTTTATCCTTCTTTTGTGTTTGGTATGATGGATAAAAAATAAAAAAAATTAATTTTTTTTTTTGGTGTTTGCTAAAATTAGGGGTAACAATTAAGTCGTGTCTTATCAGGTTCATGTCGAGTCATTATGAGTTCGTGTCGAATATTAATCAAATCTAACTTAACTCATTTAACTAATCGTATTGTGTTCATGTTCGCATTTGTGTTGACCCACATTAAACTTTGAATAAAAAATTTAACGCTAATTTTGTATTTTTTGAATATATGCTCACACTTTTTCTACAAACTATAAATTAACTTAAATAAATATAATAATAAGTAAAAATATCTTTTTTTATATAATAATTTGTCGGTACTTAATAAATAATTACAAATAATTAATATTTTACATCTATAATACTAGTTAAACATGTTAATTTTGTGTTACCAAACAAATGAGAAATAGAAAAATTGTTTATTTTTAAGTAAACAGGTAGATGGTGTCAATTTTAGATTTAACAGGTTGAACTGAATGTGAGCCGTTTATATTTTGTGTTGGTGCATCAGATCATTTTTGAGTTCAAGTAGAGTAATAATCAAGTTTGTGTCATAAAATTCGTGTCGAGGTCGAATCATGTCATCGTGTTGAGTCGAAATTTTCACTCCTAGCTAAAATGAAAAAAATAATTTTTTTCTTTAAATTTTTATTTTAAATTTTTTAAAAATATATAATTACATATTTTATCATTATATTTATATATGAAATTAATGTATACATAATATATGTATATATCAAATGATATATAAACAAATAAGAAACATTTCAAAATAAATAATTAAAACTTTTCATCAACTTTTCTTTCGATTTTGTAGAGATTAATTTTAGTGAGTTAGAAAAAAAATCTATTGATCTATTTTTTTATCATTCTTATTTTTCTTTCTTATCAGAAATAATATTTTATTTATTTCTCTAATTTTTTATCATTTTATTTTTTTTATTCTTTCATTTTTCCGTATGGTAGTGGCCCAACGGCTATTTTTTATCGCCACTAAAGGTCACTATATTACGTAAATCTTATTCTATTTCTCTTTCTTATCTTGATGCCTTTTCTGACAGGACCACAAGCCACTGTTGAGGCATACGATTAGGTCTCTGCTATCCAAAACAAGGTTTTGTGCTTATTGTCTTCTCAATAGTAGACAGCACACTAAGAAAGAAAAAGAGAGGAAACATTGAGCAGTAAACTTAGAATATGCTTTTGAAATTTGCATGTAAAAAGACTCGACCTTTGGACTTTTAACCCTTTGCTTTTATGCTAAAGTTAAGACATCTAATCTTTATTAAAGATATTGGTACTCTTGATGAGTACTATAATTGCCATCTAGGTGGGAAAAATTGTAGCAAAATGTATTAGGTTTGCATTAGTTTCCACATAAAAGGGATTAGTTTCACCTTAAAAGGTTTAGTTTCACCTTAAAATAGTTCAAGTGATAACAAAAATGTTACAAATTCAAATAATTTGAGTTTGAATTTTAACAACTACTTGGAATGAAGTAGTAAAGGATTTACCCTCATTAACACCCTTATCCCAGGTGTGAATAGTCTGTATTTTACCAGATCGAAAAGGGGATTAGTTAAAGTGCCTATAAACTCGTTCGAACACTCTTGACCATTAAACGAAAATAAAATAAAAGAGATTAGTTTTGATCGTAAAATTGTTATTAAGTTTTCACCAACAATTTTAGTATTTAGTAAGAAAAAATCATTAAATCGATAATGTCAGGATAGATATATCAATTTAGAGAAACTTCGATATTATAAAAGATATGTTTTCATGTTTCGGCCTACAATCTTAGAGTTAGTAGTCGATACGTTTATGGCTACACCAATTAATTTTTGTAACATCTATAATATAAAAATAAAATAGGTTTTAATAAGTTTATTCAACAGATAGACTCATCCAACAGTCATTAACTTCCCTATTAAAATCACTTACAATAAATTCTCTCTATTTTTAAATTGAGAAATATGATGTAACCCAAATTTATAACTCAAATTTGTATCATAAATGAATGGTGATTATTGGATAAGTGGATTCGATTAACTTTTTTAATTGGGACCCACTGATCCAATCATTCTTATTGATTTAAAATTCACATTTAAGATACAAATTTGTGATATATAGTATTGCTCTTTCGAATTCATCACTTTTTTCTTATGGTGCTCAGGTTACTTATAATTAAATATATTAGTTGATTTCACAATTATTTTTGGGTACACAAAAAAAGTTTCATTTTTTTATTGAAAAAATTTTGCATTAAGATTTGTTTTTTATTTTGTGGGGCTCGAAAAAGATTCTTTCTTGTCCTTGTCATAAGTGGGCAAGTATAAAGTAAACTCACATGGCAGCATTAATAAAACAAAAGTCCTTTGTTCTAACACCCTAGTTGTTGGACATAGTAATATACTCTCACCTCTCTCTGCAGTGTCTGCCTAACATTTTACGTGTTTGGGTTTTTTATAGTTTATAAAGAGGATGCCTCTCCTGGCCGTGTTGCCCTCACCCAGCTCTGGTTCTTTTGCCTTTTTTTTTTTTTGTACACTAATTTTTTGGTCCGTAAAATTTGGTTTTATTGATATGCACAAGTAACCTAATGGTATAGAGTTAGATCTAGATAAGTCGTAGATTCGAACGTTAAGAATTTGATAATCATTGATGTGTTTTGGGTTTAATTGATACAGGAATGATTGTTAGTACTAAGATTTACAGTTACGGATATTAGTTAAAAGTGATCGTATTCTGGAGAGATTACTCATTAAAATAATAAAAAAATGATTTTATCAAAAAGATTTATTGAATTATACTCTCAAAGAAGCGATGCACAAGATACAAAAAAATCTAATCTTGAAGAAAATATTGTCACTATCCAAAAAACTAGATAGTTACACTTCTGTAGAATTCCGAGAGACTAAACGTAATTTTTTCGATCTATATTTGTATCATTTAAATGGCTCAATGCTCTATTGCATCGCATATAGTTCAGCTCGTGTTATGAATCACTCATGTGTAATTAATCGATAATTATCCCAAAATTTGGCATCACTAAGTAACAAAAATAATAAAATTTGGCTACTATGGTACATCCCGATAATCATAAGACGACGTTCTTAATAAAGAAGTAATATTATTCTATCATTATAAACTATATTTAATAATGAGGATACTTCCGCAACTCAATCTATTTGTAATAGACTATGAAACCATTATCAACAAACCCAAAAGAAATTTAAAAATCATAGGCATAATGTTATCCAATTTAATAAAGGTAAAAGAAATCGCACTATCTTTTGAACAAGAAAAAAACAAAAAGAAATTTAGACCACATTTGTAGGCCATGAACCTTAATTCTACAAATAATGTATTTCTTATTTTAGCCTCTTCATAAAAGCTATAATTTTTTAATTTATTATTTATTATAAATAATTATAATTATATTTTAAAAAAATATAATTTAAACCTTAAAAAATACTAATAACTTTTGATAAAAAAAAATTTAGTTTAACGGTTAAGAATATCTGGAACAGCTTACGTGTACTTCAATTAATCTTTTATCCGATCTGATCAAAGATAAGTCATTCACGAGAGATAAATTTTTTATAATTTAACTTAAAAAATTATTAAAATTTAAATTTATATATCGTTTATGTTAGACAAATGTTTAAGGTGCAGGCCAGATATAACGTTTAAGGTACCGTAGAAATACGCGTTGAGGTAATGGCCACATTTCTATATGGTCGTATAGACTGTAGACATAATGTTTAAGGTGTAGGCCAGATATGAAGCAAAAATAGCCGAGAAATTGGTTATGCTCGAAGAGAGAGAGAGAGTGGTATGCGCACTACAGACATATGGGTCCCATCACCATCACTCTCTCCACCATCCACTGCACACATCCGACTGGCCTACCTTCCCCTTTCCTCCTCTCTCCCGCCTTTTGGCTCCCCAAACCATTTGCACTCCTGTTCTCTATCTCCTTTTCTTTCTCTCCCTCTTTAACCATCTCCTCTGCAACCAATCTTTTCTTGACTTGTTTCTAAAACCCTTGAAGTTCCCATCTCTTTGTCTTTCATGGAGCCAACTTTAGGCCTACTAGGTAGTGGTGGTGGTGGTGGTGGTTTGTCGAAGATGGATATGTCGCCGGAGGTGTCATCTTACCCTGAAGAGTCTGAGCTCGAACTGGGTCTTGGTCTAAGCCTTGGCTGTGGTGGTGTGAAAGCTAAGGGCTTTCCATGGGGTGAGTGTGGTAGAATATTGACTGCTAAGGACTTTCGTTCTGGGTTTCCAGGGAAATCCAGTGCCGCAGCTGTTGGTGGTGTTTCTGGCACAAAGAGAGGTGCTGATTGTGTTGGTCCTCCTGAGGTTGGATCTGCTTCTTCCGGTGTCAGCAGGTTGGATTTTTTTTTTACATGGAAACACCTCTCTCTCTCTCTAACCTCATGTCTGAAAGCTTGGTTTTTTGTTTTTGTTCATACTTCATATGGTATGGGTTTAATGTTTTATTTTTTTTATTTTACTGGGTTTTGTTGATATTATATTCAGTGATGAAACTGGGTTTTGTTTTCCTCATCTTCTGATTTTTTGTTTGATGGGGTTCTGGGGTTTGTGTACTTGTATCAATCAATTCATTTTTTTTGCTTATTTATCACTTAAAGGTTAAAAAGTGTATTCTTTGCTTCTTTGGTTGTTTTCCTTTTCTGTAATCAAGATACATCCCAAATTCAGATTGACTCTTTATTTCCCCAGCTTGTTTTTGTTTTTAAATTCAAATGTAAAGTATATATGTCAGGTTAAGTCAATTTGGGGTATATCTGTTGTTGGACTTGGTTTTGTGTATATTCTTTTCCACTGTTCTTCATGCTTTCTAATGGGTTTTTTTTCCCCTACTCTTTTGCATTTCTGTAGCAGTCAGGTTGTGGGATGGCCACCCATAAGGACTTATAGGATGAACAGTTTGGTTAATCAAGCAAAAGCTGCAAAGACTGAAGAAGACAATAAGGGAGTTGATGGGAATGAAAAGGGTAAGGATATTTCAAAGAAAAAAGTGAACCATGGAAGTAACAAAAATGATGCTGGTGATAGGGAAAAAGGGCATTCTGGGTTTGTGAAGGTTAATATGGATGGATTGCCAATAGGGCGGAAGGTGGATTTGAATGCTTACTCTTGCTATGAAACTTTAGCCGAAACCTTGGAGGATATGTTCTTTAAATCCACCACAACCATCTGTTCTATCCGTAAGTTTTCTTCCCTCATCCATGGTTTCAGAAGCCAAGTCTCTTGGTGTCAATGAGATAAACAAATCACATATAAATCTGGGGTAAGACTACGGTACCGAATACTGACATTTTGGTAACATTCTTATAGTTATTACAAAGAAGTGTGAGCTTGCAAAAGAATATAGTAAGGTTACAATAGAATAGGCGTGGTTTTGGGATCAATCCTAGCATTTATAGGATTGTTCCCAACTTCGTTTCTTCATAACTTGTCTTTTGGGGCGGAAATTTTACCTCAATTGAGTTGTAAATTACCCTTATTTGATTCTAAATGTCCAGATACCGTAGTATTACCCATGAATTTAATAAAGTGTTGTGTTAGCTGACTCAATTGCTACATGATCATATCTTATTGGAGAAAAGGAACAATTATTTATGTTCTGGTTCGTCTTGGTGTCAATGTTATGTTAAAGAGATACTAAACCAGTAACTTTTTCCTTCTTGTATGAATGATGGTGAAATTGTGCTTGTGCCATTTGGTTCAGGTGGAGACAAAGAACAACAAACACAACCCTTGAAGCTTTTGGATGGATCATCTGAGTTTGTTCTCACTTATGAGGATAAAGAGGGAGATTGGATGCTTGTGGGGGACGTTCCCTGGGGGTATGCTACTACTCAAACTTAGTCATATATAGTAATGCTAATACCTAGGAGAAGAGAGTGAGAGGCTTTATGTTTGGGTCACAATTTCAGGGCTTTAGCATAGATATAAAAAGTTAACAAAGCCAAAGTAATGCTTATATAAACGGGCTAGAGGAACTGTTGCCTATTAAGAGGCAGCCTCCGTAGGTTGTCATAATCTTGCTGTTCAACCGAACACAATACAGCAGTACAATGATCATTTAGACAGAAACCGTGTATTAAGATTGTGGAGATACATGTGTACATCAGCATGCGTGTCTGATATCTGCATGGTAAAGCGACACAATTTGTGCCTATGCTTGAAAGATCTCTTACTGCGGCTTCTATGGCTGCAATTAATGAACCATGGTGTTGACATAACCCTTTCAAATGCCTCTTAAAGACACATTTTCCCACTCTTGGATAACTGAGAGATCAAGTACCTAACCACAATAGAACTCCTTGAAGAAAGCAAATGAAAAAAGAAAATAATTGAGAAAGCTGATTCCAATGTGCCTAATGCTAATGATTCTTACATATTTTTATCTTCTCTCATCGTGTTTAGGATGTTTCTCAGCACTGTGAAAAGGCTCAGAATCATGAGAACCTCTGAGGCTAATGGACTTGGTATGTACACAACTGTACTCCACATGGTGCTTCTAGTGCTTGGACTTCTTTTGCTTTGCCTTCTAATTCAAGTTAATCAATTATTTGCAGCACCAGGATTCCAAGAAAATAATGAGAGAAAAAAGGGCAAGCCAATTTAGCATCGCTGCTGCCCCTATCTACTAAATCTCCGACAAGAAAACCCCCACAGTTTGGAAAGAAAAATCAAAGGAAAGTTGAGAAATGGAAGACTCGGCATTTGATGTTTTCAGTGTGTTGTTGTCGTTGTCGTTCACACTGATTTGCTGGTCCTGAACCCCCCCCCCCCCCCCCCCCCCCCCTTTTTTCCTCCTCCCTTTTTGTCTTTACATTTTTCCCTTCTTCCAAGCCATATTTGATTTAGTCTTGTTCTCCTCTATATGTTTTTCCCTACACAACTGCACATTATGCTGAATGCTTCTTTCTTATAATGTAAATATGCAAAGGCTCTATTTCTAGTGTGCCGAGATTGCTACTACTATCAAGTGGAATTTAATTTGTTTTATCTTGTTTTGTTGGTGTGCAATAGAAGCCTGTGTGGTTTGATGTTTTCAATCTTTTCATAGAATGCTCTTGTATGTGTTTATTTCTGTTCTTTTTGGTGTTGGTCATGTTCATATAGTTGTACTTTAAGAAATGTTCAAGGTCGATGTGTTATGTTGTTTTGGGAAATTTTGATTTCATCATTTTTTTCCCCGATAAATAGAGGTATGATATCGATATTATTTTGTTTCCCAATACAGTAGACAACTCCCCTAATTGAGGGCATTCATTTATCTGATCAAGAAGCCTTTATACCTCAAATTTTCAACCAAGTAGCATCTAACACAGGGAATACTAGAAGATTTGTGACTTTGTTTTAATCAATTTCAAATATTTTGATGTCTCACAAAGAACTTTATAGGTCTCTCTCTCTCTCTCTCTCTCTCTTAGAGATGGGCCCTTGTGGAGTCACACGTGTGTGTTTTTGATTTGCAGGAACTCTATATATATAGTTGAATTAGTGTCAAAAGGCTATGAACTGATTAAAATACCTCAAATGAATTACATTTTTCACATACAAAGTTGTATTACCTGTGGGATCCTTAAATGGAGTATAGCTCATGGTCCCACACTTACCTGCTGATAGTGTGGTATGGGATTGGACCTATTGCACCTCTTGATAGATGCATAAGGTTAAGAAATAGGGGCAACTATTTTTGCTATAGCAGGGTTTGAGTTTGTATCACATGTTGGGAGGATGATTTAATATAATAGATTACTTATCATGATTCTGGAATGAGATTAAACTTGAAAATATATTAAACAACAATTAAAAAAATTGCAATAAATAAAATTGACAAATACATAACAGAAACGAAAATTGTAATTTTAAATTAAGGCTATTGTTTGACATTATTATCTAGAGACATATTTCGCTCTTACACTAGTGCTAATGAAATTCTCGATGTCTACCTTTCAAGTTATAATGATCTTCATGCAAACAGAATAAACATTTCAATATATTTGTCTAGCAAACTAACCTGTGTTGTGTACTCTGTTATAGAAACTCTTAAATACGAAAAATGATGAATGTAATGACTCTGATAATCACGATTTTTTTTCAAGGTTTTAAAGATCTCAATGTATAATGAATCCATGTTATTTATAGATGTAGATGTGACTATATGAAACAACGACCATTGACCCAAAAGACACCATTCATGTTCATTAAAAGACAAAATTCAAATTCAAATCAATGCGAATTTGAATTCCAATTGGTAAAAATTAAAAGTCGAATTAAGAAAATATAGACCATTTAGCAAACGAATTTTATCCAAAAAAAAATCAGATTTGATCTGATCCATACCCATACCCAACTAATGTGAGATTGATGTCAAATCTTATTGTCTTAATCTCTATTTTTTACATTTTAAAAGAATCACTTTTGAATCTATTTTCTCATTCACATCTTATTTAATTTGAGCAAGTCAATATATTACGTTATTTTTTTCATAGAGAAGAACATAAACCCACAAAAATTTACACAAAAAATAATAAGTGGGTCCCACTTTAATTCAGGTTCAAAACCAACAAAAAAATCTATTTTTGTCCAACAAGAAATACAGAGCGTTAACCAACATTTGGAGGGTTATTTTTGTGACTTAATACAATCAAATTAAAATGAAGCCAACCTTGCGAGGAAAATGTCGAAAAAGTTTTATTTTTTTATTATTTTTGAAAAAAAAAGAAAATGTGAAATTATTCTGTGTTTGATTATGCTGCTCAAAAGAGTAGAATAACTTGGTGGTTAAAGATTATGCAATCATGTTGTTTTTGACTGTGGTCACACATATACATAATGGTCTCCTTTTAATCGATTAAATGACAACTGTATTGCAATATAATTCAGGAGTTGCATGAGCAAAAAGACTTCTGTTAATGCTCTACAACTTTGTTTCCTCTGTACCTGTAATCTTTCTCACCCTGCAAAAGCCAAAAAACTGTAGTGGCTTTGACAAATAATCATTCTGAAAATAGTTCCCCGCTGGTCATTCCCTTTACCTTTACCTTTCTCTTTATTTTATTTTTGGCAATGAAAAATTAGAGTAATTACATGCATTTTGGACTCATAGTTACAACACAAATCTAAAAATATGAAGTTACACGGAGCCATGAGAGATTGCAATGGAACCCCACTTCAAGATGATAGCACCATCCCTTTATTTTCATTGATAACTGTTGACAGTCCATAATTCATGAGCAGCCAATGTTAGATTATCTCAGTTCTTTTAATTTGATATTGTCAATCATGAATTCAAATTCCCATCAATACATTGCATGCTCTAAGATCTCCATCAAGGAATTAGGCTTATTTGCATTGGTAAAAAGGGTATCAACTCATTTTCTTTTGAAAACAGTTTCAAGTTACACGTGTCTTGGACTCATAGTTACAACATAAATCTCAATTTATGAAGTTACAAGGAAACATGAGAGATTGCAAAGGGACCCCCCCCCCCTTCAAGAAGATAACACCATCCATCCCTTTATTTTCATTGACAATCATAAACCGTCCATAATTCTGACGTTTGACTATTTCAGTTCTTTTAATTTGATATTATCAAATCACAAATTCAAATCCCCGTCAATACATTGCATGATCTAGAATCCCCATCAAGGAATTAAGCTTATTTGCATTCGTAAAAGGGTATCAGCTCATTTCCTTTATAGAAAACAGTTTCATGCACCAACCAAGCCACGCATGTTAAAGAAAAATTCATACTTTTCTTGGCCTTTTATAGCAAGAAAAGGGCAAATTCTAAATCAAAGAAAAATGCTCCTCATAACAGCCAAGTGTGGCAAATTAAGGAGGGCTGTCAATTTTACTCAGGAACCCAACACAAAATTCAAAAATAAAATGACTAATTGACACAAACAATAAATGAATTAAAATAAGGTTAAACACAACTAACCAATACAAATATATATATTTATTTATTTATTTAATTAATAATTTTTTAACATAATATCATATGAAATGTTACATTGACACGAACACAACATATACCAAAAATGACACGACCAAAAAATAACATTTGCGAAAATAAATGATACCCCAAAAATTAGAGGTCTCAACTTTCGTCGTTGTATGATCTTTTGCATATGTTTCAGCCATTTTGTGCAGGAGCTTCTGGCCTGCTTATTTGTTGGCAAACCAGACATTAGTCAACCCTTAGGGTGGTTCAGTGGTTAAATCTAATATTTGATAACACAGAGATTCTAAGGTCAATCTCTTCTCACTCACCATAAGGATTAAACACCCTTGTTCTCAGAGACATACTCTAACCCAACTCATACGACAGAAACAGCCACAGAATTCAACCGAACAAGCATGGACACCCTGTAGCCACACACAAAAAAAAAAAACTAGACATCAATCCATTACCCTCCAATCACCTCAACATATCTGTTGCATATCAGTAGCACTGAAAAGGAACTACTGTCTGCCAACTTAACAGTCACCTGCCCTAGATACGAGGTCCAGTTATGGTACCGAAAATCAACTATTTAGAACTCCTGCATTAATTGTTATGGCATACCTCAAAGTAAATTTTAAACAATTTGTGAGTTGAAACTAGCAAAATTTCTACATCTGTACTGGTAAGCAGCTTTCATACTGATTCAAACTTCAAGATGTTCATAGTAAATACTAGATCCAATGACCTCTTCAGCCATATCTAGACAGACACCTAAAGCAGATTATAACTTATGAATCCTCAAATCAGAGTTACAATCTTCATTTCTCGATAAAATTACAACATCTGCCACAACCAATCCAGTAACTACTTTCTAGGTTCACAGAATATGAAAATGCTGGGAACTGAATAATCACCGCGCATGAAAATCAATGGCCTTACTGCAAAAACTCTCTAGGATCAGTGACAAAACCAGTCAAGGCCGATGCTGCAGCTGTGTACGGAGAGGTCAGATAAATCTGACCTTCCTTGTGCCCCATGCGACCAGGGAAGTTTCTATTTGTTGTTGAGACACATACCTGCAATAACCCCAAAACGAAAAAGTCAGGAAACGTCCTAGAATGAGAATACAGTGGGGCAGCCATCGTAGCCACTAAAAATGGATTATGAAATACCACTATCCAATTATTCACAAAACCTTTCTTCATGGTATTATATTTTATCTATAAGAATCATAATACAGACAGTATCACACTTCAATGTCATCACTGCTTAAAGAATAGCTATACTTAATGTGCAGTTAGTCTTTTTTTAGCCATTAACCCTCAGAGAAAAAGCATTAGCCTTTAAGATATCTTTTTATTTTGTTCAATGAAGAAAACATTAAAAGAGTGCGTATTAGTGTCGGAATATTAATAAAAATAGAAGGCTTATTTGAAGAATCTTAAAACATATAATTGAAATTCTTGTTGTTCATGCCGCTCCTTTCAGATTTGCCTCCATTTCATACTTATGTATACTAGCAATGCACCACGGGCAATGGTGCATTTCCCGTGAAAGTTTTCGTTAAAACATTTGATAAAATATATAAAAATTTAATTATATAGCTAAATTAAATATTATCTCATATTTATCATACTTAAAATTGTTTGTATTGTAAATGAAGAGAAAAATATACATATATCAATTGTTTGGCACCGGAGGTGATATTATATCAATAAAGTTATCGATGTATATTAATATTGAAATTTAAAAAAAAATAATATTATTTTTATATATCTTTAAGAGTAACATAACCATCTAAAAGTTTTGCAAAGATAGAGATTTACATGATACGCTAAAGGTTACTTTGTTATTTAAGTATAGAGGGATATAATGATAATCTGCATATTTAAATACAAAAGGACATTAGCCTTTATAATTTTTTATAAGGACAAAATAGTGAATCCAAAGTTTTTTATGCAACATACATTTATCAGTAATATAGGTAGAACATATAATTTGGATATGCCTACTCAAAGGCACTGGATAGCAGACACAGAAAAGTTGCTGGACGGCAGACACAGTAAGTTGCTAGACAATTGTACCAAAGACCTAGAATCAGATCCCACCTGTTGTTATTTACAGATTCGTTTAATTCATCCAAAACAAATTAAAAATACAAGAAAGTAAACTTGCCTGAGGTTCATTCATGCGGGCATAAGTGTCTTTAGGGCCACCCAAACAAGCACCACAACTAGGACTTGCAGGGGTATCGCAACCAGCTTCTTCAAATATTTGGGAGCAAGTCTTGCCCCCAGAACCTGGCACTGGGAGACTATATACATCCATCCACACCTGAAAACTTTAATAGTATGAGTATTATGTATTTATCTTTCAAATGTTCAGAATCCTAGCAGCAAAACAAAATACTTCCGCAACAAAAGACCCAACATTACAAACCTTCTGTGTAGCAGGCACAAGGAATGTGGGAACTTTGACTTTTTGGCCCTGCACGTAATGTAGATAATCTAATCAGCTTAATTAAATCTTACCACATACCCTTAGATGCATTGGAGGAACAATACATGAATAACAAATCAAAAGGAATACCTTTGCATAAGAACCTATTTGACCCCTAATTGGATGAAGTGTATCCATGGAGTACCACACATCATACCCTTAAAACCCAGTGACACACACTACCATGTGATGCCAAAGGGTTTAAGAAAATCCTAGAGCAAGAGGGAAAAAAGTATTGCTAAAGAAAGATGTACAGAAAGCATAAACATAAATAAGCAGTATAAACTCCTTTAGATCCCCCAGTATAAAAAATTGAGTGCATATTTTTCGCTAGAAAATCATGATATAAGGTCAGCGAGATGCATCACTGATATTGGCTGAGAAGGAACCAATAGACACACACACACACAAAACCTAATTACAACCCCTCCTAAGAAGGAATACATAACAGAAAGTGCAATTTCCGAATGTTAAACCTTCTCACGATAATGCAACCCTAAGTCCGTTAAAAAGGACAAAATAAGCAGTAGAGATATTGTGTCCCTTACTGAAGCCAGAAAAACTTTGGCAGCAGCCATGAAATCCTCAGTTTTTCCACCAGTGCATGAGCCAATATACACCCTATCAATTTTCACATCTTTGCATTCTCTTGCCAAAGCACGATTATCAGGAGAATGAGGCTGCATGACATATATAGAGCATATTATTCACTGCAAAAGATAAAGCTAAAGATCATCTAATCGTTTAAAACATAAACCAAATTACTCAACAATTTTGAAATACTTGTCGTGAGTTACTACTTTCAACATAAAAACAAGAGGAGGATTCCTTGTCTTCTTTTCATCTTTTTCACTACTCCAAGTAAAAACTTATCATGGGTTACACCTTATAACATGAAAACAGGAGGAAGATTCCTTGCCTTCTTTTCATCTTTTTCATCCCTCCAAATAAAAGGTTCCATTTACAGATTTACTTGACTCACCTTTGCCACCAATGGCTCCAACTTTGAGATGTCAAATCTATACTCCGAAACAAATCTGAATGAGGACCAAATAATCCCATCAGCAGATATTATATCTTCACTACTACAAAAGCAATGGAATTATTTTGGAAGAACATAAAGAAAGAGATAGGTCATAGGTGGCCTGTCATTAAGATTTCTTAGAAGTTCTAAGGGCCATGGAACTAAATCAAAACTAACGATGGCCTTATTCTAACAAAAAAACGTCTGATTCACTGCCTCAGTGATGTGATCATACTAAATCTAAAACATCAATGCTAAACTAATAACCTCAGTAATAACTCCGACAAAATCAAACCCTTGGTCCAATTAAACGTTATTCTAAACAATATTGTAGATGATTGTAAAAATTTGTTATGATCAATATCTAGTGTAGCTGCTGATAAGGCTTCGAAAAGGTACTGCTAGAACTTCTTGATCAAGACAACCTTCTTTCATTTTCAAAATTTTTTCTGGTGGTCATGAGATAGGGCAGAATGAATAAAGTATTTTTCTCAGAACAAGTGATGATTATAATCAACCTGTTTTGTGACAGAAAAGCATTAGGTCTTCCTTTTCCTGCCAGTGAAAGTTCCGTACAATACTGACATAACAAAACATTTTTGCCAGCGTAATATTAGTGTCATGCTGCCTCTCTGTGTTATTTTCTACCTGGATATTGGATGCGGATTAATTCTGTCGAGCATCAATGGATTTGATCAGTTGGAGGCCCAGAGCAATGGAAAATCATTAGAATTGAATGACCACAGGAAGGGATGAATAAATCCCCAACATTTTGGTACTATAATTATGCATGAACTCATTTTTCAAGTATTTGAAGCAACTAACTTCATGATCTTTTCAGAAAGAATTTTGATTGCCTAATTTTTTGAAAACCATATCATTCATCCTGATTTTCAAGATCCATATGGCTCCATGTTCAGGACTGAACTTTGCCATCAAAAGCAATGGGAAGGAAAATAAACTACTTAAATTCCAGGGATGTCGAAGACGTCCTTCAATAATATATTTCTGTTTAGCCGCATTAATATATTTTGATCAAACATACAGGAACAAACTGGTAGGGAGCGTAAAGCAGCAATTTTCAGCACCAAAAAAGTGGAAACTCATATCTACCTTGCTTCTGCATCACTATAAACTGCTGCATAGGGAACAGAAGTTTTGTCCTGTACAAGCCAAAAAAAACAAAAAAATTATGTTAACCAGATCAACTAAGTGTAACTGCCAAATATAAAATTCCTCATAAGTCTTAACGGAAGCACTTATAAAAGCACACACATGCTGGTGTATGCACACATGCATACCCCTGCTCACAAGCATGGATGCATGACTGCACACACACACACACAGCAGTACGCACTTACCTCAAGATACTTAAATGTAGTACTATCAGCTGGGACAACTCCATTCTTTCCCCCAGCTTCAACAACCATATTGCATAATGTCATTCTTTCTTCCATCTTCCAAACGCAGAACAATGAACCATTTAAAACATAACCAGATGTTGAAATTGCAGATACTTCTATTGATGATTTAGTGGACTTACCGTTAAGCTTTCAACAGTAGTACCAACAAACTCCATAGATTTATATGTTGCACCAGACACAGAGATTTCACCAATAATCTGCAATGTGTTCAATGTCACGACAATTATTGGAGGCTTTGACACTCCATTTTAATAAAAACAAACCATAACCCAATGACCAGAACTAGAGGCATTGTCAATCCGTCATTATGTAAATGCACAAAATATCAAAGTTGGCTTATCCTATAGAGGGTCATATACTATAAAAGGAAGCATAATATGTTCATAACAAGGAAAGATATGATTCAGGATGTTGTCGAACTTACTTGCAAAATCAAATCCTTCGCAAGCAAATAATCTGGCATTTCGCCTTCCATTACAAATCTCAAAGTTGGAGGCACCTGCAACGCGAAGATATGAGAAATTTGCTGTGCCAATCCTTTAAGAAAGTTAGAAGACAAGTATAACTGGTTCAAATTTGAAAAGGGAAGTTCAAAACACATTGCTTTGAGCTTTTGATTATATTTTCATATACAAAAATTCGTCGTGTTTTTTGAGTTTAGGACATTGAATTTGCAAACAACATATGCTTTATGGGTAGAAGAAACTTGCAACTTTGATCTTGGTTCGCCACAAAACATTGTGAACGAGGAAAAAGTTTCTGCAATTAAATAATTGAAAAAAAGAAGTTTTATCCATGAACAAAATCAAATAGGTCTCCTTATCAAAAGTAAATGCTTTAACATTCAGGCCAAAAGAACTTAATATCACCTACATTGGATTTGTTCGCCGTGAAGGTTACGTGGGGACTGATATGAAGAGGAGTCCAAGGATCGGACCCCATTGTTATCACTTCTAAAAAATAGTTCATTGACAATATCACGAATACAATAATCATGAGGTTGCCCAGCAGGATACCCCCTCCCCCCCAAAAAAATAAAAAAATAAAAAAACACAGAGAAGTAAAATATGCATGCACCCCCCAAAAACCCTGAAATACAAAAAAAAGGTTCATGGACTTGCAAATCGTTCACACAAATCTCTTTCTCCATCGCTTTGTCTCTCAGACACACAAGCACACCCCAAAAACAAGCATCCAAGCTGTTACAAAAATCTCTTTTGTTTGAAATAGGTTTTCCCATATCGGCCAGTCCATAAAACAAAGATCTAAAGAATGACCACTTTTTGCGCCTAATGACAAAAATTTCCATTACAACATATAACAGAGGCGTGAAATGGGGGATACAATAGCAAAAGGAGGAATCAATTCCACTAATTATATATATTTTTGTGAATTCAACTAGAATCAGGATGAAGTCTTCCGTTGAAGCTACGAGTCGAATCACTGATTGAAGTATCTCTGTATGATTGAAGTTCCTATTCTTATCGGGCATGCATGCTATAACAAGTAATGCTCTCTATCCTTCCTCCCTATCCCTAAGAATCCGATATTATCCCTGTGTAAAGTCATTGTTGTATTGGTAAAACATGCCACCTTGAGAAACTTCAAAGTTAATGGATAGAGAACAAACTTGCCAATTTAACACGAAGGAAAATCGAAGAAGAAAACAAGAGAATAATTTACAAAAAGCTATAATGGAGACAAAATGCAATAAACATCCAGAAAATAATGATACTCATAGCCATTATGCTCAATTATCCATGTCAATAATCACTGTGAAGGAGCAAAACCACAGCATAATCAAGTGACTAAAACATCAGATGCCAGAGACAGAAACCTTGAGCAAAAGCTTTCCGGTTCCCAAGACAAAACCTGCATCAGTATTTCCAATTCCAGTAGCAAACTGGCCAAATGCACCTGCTGTACATGTGTGGGAGTCTGTACCTAACAAGACCTGAAGGCATGTGTAAAGGGTTCATCCATTATTCAAGAAGAAAACTTAAGTATATGAATACCTCCATATACCTGACAGAAACATTACTAAGAAAACCGAGAAGCACCTCTCCAGGCCTGCAATGACCTTCTTGGGCAAGGGCAATATGGCATACACCTTTATAGTCCGGATTAGCCTGTAAGATTATCACATGAACTATAACTTCTGTTTTTACATAAAAAATAGGAAGCCCTTAGCAAATGACATTAGAGGTTCTATTGCATAAGGCTGGAAAAAGTACCTTGAAATTGCCAAGATCTTTTATATCATAGAAGTACTTAATATTTTGCTCAGTGCAAAAATCCCTTAAGATATCCACATTACGATTTGCACGTTCATCCTTGGTAAAGATGTAGTGGTCCGGTATAATGACAAGCTTTTCACGATCCCAAACCTGCGATGTTCAAAGAAAAACAGTCACGTTGATTTAGAAGTGTGACACAGATATCCTTTTTTCCTTTAGAGGAAAAAAGAAGTCTAAGCTATTAATTACTGAACTACATTATGCTCCGAAATCCTAATTATAAGACAGTTTTTCCCCCATCCACTACAGAAACGACAAAGAAACAAACGTCAATCATAGACTGGATAAACTTTTTCGCTCAATGCAAGTACAAAAAATATTATCATCAAAATTCAGACACATGTGAAATCTAATATTTCTTTCCAAATAGACAAGTAGCACCACATAATTATAAAATAATTCAAAATATTTAACGAAAATTTCTTACAAACAATGTTCCGGATGCACTTTCATCCACCAAGGTTGTTCATAGTAAAGGGATTTACAAAAAGAAAGTCTATTGATGGTCCTGTATTGCAAATGATAACAGAATGATGTGTTAAATCAACAAATGTGAAAGTCAAAATATCTATTTGAATGGAATTCCTCAGTTCCTGGCTGGCATTAGATGCCCTATGAATATCTCAGAAGGTTGTCCTGTGAATATCACAGATTAGTATTTCACAGTTTACTGTTAAAAAAATATTGGTAAATAAAATCATTCAATATGCAAAAACATTTTTCATTAGTCCTGTACATATCAGATCTAGTATGATCAACTGCAAAACCAATTTTATCTTCACAGTGGTTAAGACTCTATTGGCATCAAATTACTTTAGGAAATATAAATATATAATGGGTTCAAGCTCAACCACTGTAAATTCCTACAGTGATCCAAAAACTGATCTCAACTGACTGAATAACAATAATCAATAAAGGTTAAAGTTATAAACTTTGGCACATGTTAAATCAGTTTGTGACGAATCTGTTGAGTGTTTTTTGAACCATCTAGATGTTCTATTTCTGTTCGGCACAAGGCCACCTTAATTTCTTAAAAGATGGCCTCAAATCAATTTCATTCAGGAACCACACTGAAGCATTCTTATGCTTAGGCATGTCTATTCATACAACATAACTCATTTCAATTTCATGTGTCATCCAAATGCTTCTTAATAATTGATTCAAGAAATTTGCGGTAGAACTAATAAACATTCAGTTAACTGATATCCAAAATTCAAATTTACAACAGCAACTGGAGCAAAAGCAAACTGATTCAAAACACAGTATGCAACATGTAAACATTAAGCAACAAAATGAGTTCAAAATTCAAGTTAAAAAGCACAATTGAGCAATAGCTAACTATGTACCTTTGCATTTTCGCCGAATTCTTTCTTGAAGATTCCAATTGAACCAGGTCCACAAACATCATGGGTCATCAAAACATCAACGTTGACCCAGACATTCTCACCGGGGCTCAACTGGGGCTTCTCAGAAGCCCTGGCGAAGATCTTCTCTGTCATCGTCATTGCTGTCTTGACCTAACAATCAAGATTAGTCACAAACCCACCATTAAAATTCACCAAATTCACAAACCATTTTCCAAATCATTTTAACCCAAAACAAGAAATGAAAAGAAAATAGAAAAAGAAAACCCAACTGATCCAGTGGTGGAAGGCTTGCGTTCAGATTGCTGTGGTGACATGACAGATACAATTTTCCTGGAAACTCTTTTCCTGAAATTCTGGGTGGAAAATGAAGGTTGTGCAGAAATTGAAGAGAAACCCACATCTTTCTATACCCACAAAAAAAAAAAAAACACACAAATTAAAAGAAGAAGAAGAAGAAGAAAATAACATCAGAAATGGGTTATAGTTTCATGAGAATCTTTGAGAAAAAAAAACAGGTGACTTTTGAGATTTAAAACAGAACCTTGTTGATGAAAGCTGTGGAGCTTGAAGCGATGGCAGAGGAAGAAGCCATGGTTGATGAGTTTATCAGTGTCTTTGAGGTGTGTACGTGGACGATTTGTGAAGGTGAGAAGAGGCTTTATTTGTTATGTCTTGCGGCAAGGGCTTAAAGTTTTGGTCAATGAGAGAGTTGCGTGGTATAGGGTCCCCAGCGACAATCAACGGTTGGAACCCTATCTCGTGTTACACCTAAAAATTGAGGGGAAGGGCTATGGATAGTGCCGTAGGTTGTGCGGTATCAAAAATTATAATTATAATTATAATTTTTTTGAAGTAAAAATTACGGCTTTAAAAAGTATCATCGGTCATGAAAAATTATAATCAATACTAAGAGTTTACGATGATATGATCGCTAATGAATATATGTGATTAATCATAATCTTTTTTTGAGTATTTATAACTTCTCAATTATAATTTTATCATAAAAAAAAAATAATTGATAATATTAATACCCAAAAAAAATAATTTTGATTTTCCATTGAATTCTCAGTAGGAGTGATATCAATGGTTTGAGAGTTTTTTTGGACAAGTAACTGCTTATGAGTTATTAAAAGAACTTACATGAAATATAACATGTGGGTGGTTTTCACTCTAACTTTTTAATTCCAAACAAATGGGAATACTGTGGAGAAAAAAAAAAAAGCTAGGGTCTAATGTTGAGGTTCGAGTCTTGGGGTCAAGGTTTAGGGCTGAGGTCTAGAGATGGGTCTCGAGTCCAATGTCAAATCTGGGTTTAGAGTTCAAGGTCAAAGGGTATGGGGGTCAGGTACTAGGGTTTAATTTGAGTTGGAGATTTTGACTTTTGAGTCTCCGGCAAGGGTGGGGTCAAGTTCTGAATTTTAGGGTACCTTTGGTTGGTTTGTTTTTTTTTTTTTTTTTTTTTTGAAGGATTTGGATTGGGTTGTTTAAATATAAACTTCTTTTTATAAAGATGAGATTCAACATTCAATTTCATTCATACTTATATTTGGTATGCGCACGGGATATATTACTATTATGATAATAAATTTGTATTTAAATAATTATTATACCACTTAATCAATCTAATTTAAACTCATATTTGTATACGTATATTTTCTTGTATCCTTATGATTTTAACATTTAATTATTTTGTGTATAAAGATTTGATTATTTCGGGTATAAATATTTGATTAATATTTGATTATTTGGAGTATATGGGTTAGATGAGAGTATAAATGTTATTTATATTTTCAACCCTTTAACCCCCATATGAAACCCAACCCCCCACCCCCAAACCGAGTTTTATGAAACCCATAAACATAGGTTTAAATTGCGAGCCTAAAGTAGACTGAATTTGATAACCTGGGTTAGAAATGTAATTGTCAAACATGAGTATGATGGGTTTTGTAGACTTTTATTCTCAACCCATCTTCCAAATCTCCCATTGTCCCACATACCAAAGACAAGCCCTTAGAGTTTGGGCTTTATATGGGTTCATGGCCATGTTCTAAATCCGAAATCCCAAATCAAATTTGAGTTGGATCATGGGTCTTACATTTCAAGGTTAGGGCATCAAAATGGTTATTTTTAGTTTTAAAAAAAAAAATTATATTTTGATCAAAATTAATTTAATTCAACAAAATGTATATATATATACAAATATTGGAATAGATTTTTTATTTTATATCAATACTTAATCATGATTGGTATGAAATATTACAATAGTAATGTACATTTTATTATATTCACCAAATTCATTTCGTTGTTATGTTTATTACATTCTTGCATAAAAGTATTACCTCTTACCAAAAAGACAACATGATTAGTGTAAAAGTTATTTATTGAAATATGAGTTTTAATAGGCTAAAACTTGTATCACATGTCATATACGTGCAATCTCAAGATGTGCATTTGTACTAGAATGCAATATTTGGGAATTTTACATAAACATTGGCAAATTAGGAAATTACATGTAATTTTTAGGTACAATGGTAACTCAGCACCAGTACTATATGGTCTCTAACACAAGATATACTACCAAGTTCAACATACAACATAGGCCTAGTTTTCATTTGATAGTGGCTGAACTTGTTCATTACCTTAGTAGATTACCCATATTTCATGCATCGACACTAGTAACTTCTATAGTTTCTGAACAATATCATAGTCTTTGAGTGTCTACTAATCTCTTATGTTTCGATTACAATATGTACTCGTAGTAAATTACGTGCAAAGACATAAATAAACATCGACGAACTATGAAATAGCAAAACATGTTAGTAGTGGTATTATATCTCTTAAATTTTGTATTGTAAAATAATAACTCATCTTTAAATTGCACAACGCAAGGTGTGTCATTTGTTTTATGCTCCATTGGGTAATAATAATTAAAAGTAAGAGAGATGAAAAATATAAGGAATACATTTTCTATCGTCCAATGAAGGAAAGTAAGAATGTACACTTTCTTTCATTTGTGTTTAGTATGATGAATGAAAAATAAAAATAATAATTTTTTTTTTGTGATTAGTAAGATGGAAAAAAATTTATTTTTTATTTTTAAAAAAATATAAATACATATTTTATCATTGTATTTATATATGAAATTAATGTATACATATGTATATATTAAATGATATATAGACATAAGATACATTTCAACACAAATAATTAACTTTTCATTACGAGCACAAATTAACTTTTTATTCATTTTCCTTATGATTTTGGAGGGATTGGTTTTGGTGAGTTTGAAAAAAAACTCATCTATCAACTTTTTCACCCTTCATATTTTATTTATTTATTAAACATGATGTTTTATTTATCTCTCTAACTTTTAATCCTTACATTTTTTCATCGTACTAAACAAAACATTAGTGTAAGAGCAGAACAAAAAAGTAATAACATGATTTTGCGAGTTTTAACCGATCTTTTTAGGCTCTAAAAAATTATTACAATTCGATTCGTTTAGAATATGAGTCGAACTTGAATCAATTCTTACCCGAATCGAGCCACCCTATTTACGGTTAACTTTGTGAGCTTTGTTGAAACTCAAGTCATACCACTATGAGAATTCAGTGATGGCCTAATGGGCAACCACACTATCGTTAGACTTAAGAACATGGGTTTGAACCTCACCGACCATCTCCATGTAAACATTGTTTAAAAAAAGTCATACCACTACAATTGAAATTTTGGCTGGTACATTGAGTCAAATTTCTATTGGGAATTCAAGGCCCATTTTGACTTGAATCATATTAAGTTGGAGTTTGACTCTCTGGCTGTGCAACTTAGTACTTAATTATGTTTCAACTTGAATTTACTGGTCATGGCTACTTCTCGAATACTCGAGACACTTGAGTGAGTACGGTTCAAATTCATATTAGACTGAGATTTTTATTTTTTACAAATACGAGTTGAATTTGAATTGATCCATTCAAAATAGACCCAAATTAGCATGATTTTGTAAAAGTACTACACAATGAATGAATAACACTTTTTACCTTGAAAAATCTTCAATTATTAATTTTCACTTAAAAAAATTAAAATTTTAATATTGCACTATCAATCAACAAAAATACAAAAATGTGGTCTAAAATCAAATTTTGGTTGTCTTATAACGACAAATGTTTTTGTAGTATTTCATTATATTATCCTATTTTTATACATAATTATTTATATAATATTTAATTTTAAATAATTCATATAAAAAATTTGTACTCAAATTTATTAAAAATAGAGAATATTACTATTTTTTTTATTGTTTGCTCACCCTACAAAATACATAGAACAATTATTTTGACATAATTTATAAATACACTTTATTGGTTTAATCATTTATAACAATTAGATTGATAGTAAACTCCAGTATTTATTATAAATTTTGCAATCAATCCAATAGTTATAAAAAATTAGATGATCAAATTAAGTCTGATAACATTATTGAAATACATAAAAAATATGGAACACAACGAATAAAAAGTCTAGGACTTAGGCTAAGTGGGCGAAAAAAAATTTCAGTACTGTATCTCTAAATTTTGTTACATGAATAGGTATTTTTATAATTTTTATGAATTATTTTACAAAAAAAAATTATAATTGTTGTTGATATTTTTATTACTTATATAAGTGTTTTTACCACTTTTATGGTAATTACAACAGATCTTAAAATGTTAGGATCGTAAATATTTTTATTATTTTTGTGATAATTGCGATTGATTATAGAATATTAATATTGGTTGTAAGTACCATAAAAAAAATAAAAAAATATTAAAAAAATAATAATAAATAATGGTAGGGTATTTTTTTTAAAAGTTTATTTTTAGTACCGTGTCCAAAAGATAGTTCGAAGGCGTCGTCAATTTCAACGTTCAGCTTTCGCTGTCCTTTCCATGGGACCTCTCCCTGTCCTCCATGGAACTGGAAGTGTTTTACTATTAAAATGACCTTTCTGCTCCAATTTCTGGCGGGATGGAACGAACACTACCATTGAGAAATACCTAAAACTAAAAAAAGTTCCATTCTCAGTTCAATCACCAGAATACACCACCATGTACTGGCTGACAGCCAAAACCGTCGTCGTTTCAGTCCCTCGCTGGCGCCCTCTAACTCTTCTGCTTCGTCCCCCTCTTCATTCCCATCCATTCACTTCCTCTCCACCTTTACTGTAAGCCCTTCTTCCCCCCCCCTCTCTGTGGCCATATTATATATTCATCCGCTAACTGTCACATTCATATATATGTTCTTTCTTTCTAATTGCTGTTAGGTGTCAAAAGGATGATTTGCTTCACTAGTTTGTTATACACAAGCAAAATACTGTCTGGGATCTTTTTTCTTTTTGGAAATTTGAGTATCGTGGACTAAGATTCCCTTTTTTTTTCCTGTTTCTGTTTGATGTATTTAATGCAGTATAGGTACTTTATTATGTCATGATTCATAGTGCTTTCTCTTAGCTTGTATAGACTGGTCAAAAATGATCTGGGTCTCTTCGAACATTTCTTGCAATTTGTATTCTATATGCCATTATGCACAGAACTATTATTCTTGTGCCTAGTGTAGGCATGAAATGAAAAAGAAACAAAATCATTCACCCTAGAATTTGGGTATTTAATTGCCAATTTTAGATGTGGATCTCTTTAAATCGCACCTAAGGCTAACATAACTCCGTATTCAGGCTTAACAGTGTGTTTGTGCATGTGTACATGTGTGTTTCCCTCAAAGTTCTCTAATAGCAGAAAAGAAAATAGGAGGGCTTGATTAAATAGGGGTATAACAAATTATTGTGCTTTTCCAAGAAAATGCTCTTTTCATTGCGTAAAGAATATCCATTCCCATCTTGAATTTGTTGAGTTCTTCTTACCCCCTCCCCCACCTCCTCCCTCTTCCCAAAAACAAAACCTTGCAAGTTCTTGATTGTCAATTATCTGTCACATAAATGAGGATGATGAATCCATCTATTTTTTCATATTCTTTCAAAGATTTAATAATCATGCACTTTGATAGTAGCCACCACTACTATCGATAGACAGCTGCAGTCTCGGAACCTTAGCTCTGACTTACAACCATCAATGTCTGCCGTCTAGTACGTGTTCTCTTAATTTTTAGTGAAAATCTAGCAAGGTTCGCTTAGTCTCATACACCAACTCAGAATTGTTACTGGACATCATTTGCTGATAAAGAAATTGGGTTGCTCACCTGCTATAGCACTTCGGCATGCACTTTGATAGAGAGCATAGTTGAGTTTTGTTGCAGCTACCTTATTCTCCTATTTGATGCTTGATGTTCTTGTACTTAAATAAAGACCTAATGTTTTATGTTTCTTTGTTATTCTTTATAGCATTAAGCAGTGTGAGCGGATTTGTTGCTTCAAAGAACGGAAGCTTGTGAAAGGGACAACAAAAGCAACTAAAAAACTAAAAGAATTGAAAAATGACCTTGAGGAAAAAGATTATTCTAACATTTTGTGGTGGAAAGAGGTGGGCTTGATGATTCGTTTTTGTCAAGTTTGCACTATAAGCTGCACAATATAAATTACTTGTTACAATTAGGCCATGAATTCTTAAAAGTTACTTAAATTGGCTTATAGTGTCATGGTCTCGTATTTCAGAGGATGCAAATGTGTAGAAAGCCTTCTTCTGTTCAACTGGTTAAGAAGCTATCATATTCTAATCTGCTGGGATTGGATGTCAACTTAAAAAGTGGGAGGTGAGTTCCCATCTATGTCAAGTTTAGCAGCAAACTTTATTTTTTGTCTTCTATCTTCTTTCCTTTTTATTTTTGACTCATCTTATTCCTTTGGAGTAATGGAAATTATTGTCCTGATTGGCTTGTACATTCTTTTTTCTGCTATCATCCGTGCAGGTTAAAATGTTAGTACCACTATTTAATTTTGTAATATGCACCACCTGTGATTTATGTGCATTCCTATGTTATAACTTGAGCTGGGCTCTACCTTTTCAAAACTTGACAAAAATAAATCATTGGGTACGGGAACAGGGCTAAAATGGTGAACTGTTTAGATTGTCATCTTGTAGGAACTTGTGAGGTTTAGCTGAAATAAGAAATTAAATTGGTTAAATGCCTAATATGGTCATTGAGCAAAGATTGAACCAATATGGCTCAGAGCTTATACCAACAGTTGACTCTTGTGGATACTGGATAGTGATATGCAACAAAGTCAACAAATTATGATTTTAGTTATGCCTCAGAATTTGTATCAGTATGATGATGCCATGAAATATTAAAGAGGCAGGTAGTTAGCCCCTTGTATTGCTCTTATCATTGTTCACTGTCTCTTAAACTTGAAAGCATATGACTGCGGATAGCTGTTTCCTTCGTAGAAATACCTCAATATATCAAACCATCTCAGTGGTACTGAAAAAGAAAAGGTGTTATTTTGTTGACAATCTTGGGGGGAGTCTTTTATAGGCTTAGATTTAGATGTTTATGATCATCAGCACCAGGTATAATTGGATATTCTGGTCCAAAAGTGTGTTGCAGTTGTGTTTTGCCAGTGTTATGATAAAGCAGCAACCCTTTATGCATAAGCTGTAAGCCTGTAACAATGAAGTTCCTTGGCGAACTTTGAATTTTTTTAAGATGTATCTCTACTAGCACAAATGTGTAGAGAAGAAAGATGTCTTATCAAGTCCATTATATTGTAAACAGTGTCAACTTAATAGGTCACAATAATCAAACTAACTTGAAAGGATACAGGAAATATATGAATACTTTGTTTGACTTGTTTGGCCCATTATCTTTGCTCTATTACCATTGCTCCTATTTTCATTTTTACTAAATTTGTTTTTGATTAAGAGAGTGAACTTTTTCTTGAAATTGTTCCATAGGCATTGTCATCCATAGGGAGTTTGCTCCTTTTATCTCACAGCATGTATTATCAAATCTCTAATTGGTTCAACCCTAGTAAATTTGTGTGCAGCTGCAGAATTTAAGCAACATTTCTCTCACTCCATGTGTGTGAAAAGAACCTGCCTGGTTGTTTTTTAAAGAAATACTAATGGATGGGTGATATTTTTCCTCTTTTATTTGTAGTCTAAAAGAAGGAACTCTTAACTCGGAGATGTTGCAGTTCAAGTCTAAATTTCCCCGCGAAGTTTTGCTTTGTAGAGTATGTTTCTTGTTTTTTCCACGTATACTCCTCTCTTGGATTCCATCTTTTTTCTGTTTTAATTTGATTGTGTAAAGGTTCTAGGTGATTTGGAGGGAAAGGAATGCAGGAATTTTTGATGATAAATGTAAAGAGTTTGAGGGACTTTGGCATAGAATTATTTCTTGGCTTCCATGTCCAAGGAGTTTGAAGAAATTCCTCTCTATTGCATTAGGACAAGCTGGAAAGCATCTTGTGGCTTGTAGCTTGTTTACTTTTTGTGTGTTTTTTCATGTTTTGCTATTGTGGGGATTCCTTGTCCACCTTTGATGTGGTTTTCTTGTAATGATTTCTCTTGATTATTGATAAATTGTTGTTTCCTATCAAAAAAAAGATTCTTGTGCTTTGTGTTTACATTACATTTTTGTCTATGGTTGATCAATAATGAGCACCAAAAGCTTGTCTTTCCAGGTTGGGGATTTTTACGAATCTATCGGAATTGATGCTTGTATTCTTGTTGAATATGCTGGTTTGAATCCTTTTGGTGGTTTGCGTTCAGATAGTGTTCCCAGAGCCGGATGCCCTGTCATGGTATTGAATTTGTTTTCCAGCTGGCTTCTATATGTTCATATGTCTGTTTATTTTTTAAGGTTTATTATGCCAATAATCATCTAATTTTGAGTTTTGGCTGATCAAAAAGCCTTCAAAGTTATTCACATTTATTCTTCATCACTTTTAAGAAAAAGAATAAGTGAAGTTTAGTTAACCGAAAGCCTTTGAAGTCATTTGCATCTATTGCGTTATTTTCACTATTTGATGGTGTGTTTGAGGGGTTCCTATGGGCAAGCTTAAGAGATGATAAATTAATTAACTTGTGCATGAGTATTGAGTGTACTGCAAAAGATAAGGTGGCTTAGGTGTGGACAGTGGGCATCTAGAACAAGGCATCAGCAACAAAGGTGGCCGTGGAGGCCTTTTAGTGAGTACAATTTGTCTGCACTCGGACTGGTTATTATCTTGCCCCAACTCAAAGAAACATGGATAAGAATGTGTGAGAATTGTTGGCGAGTAAAATTACATCCTTATTTGTTATGCTTTAGGTTATTTTTTTTAATGGTGTTGACGGCTTATTGCTCCTGCGTTTCTTTATTCGCAATTTTTTGCTAATGGATATAATTCAGAAATGATGGGACGTCTCTTAGTGAATGATATTCCCAACTTCCGGATGAATATCCAAATTGTGGCAGGACTAGTTGTGGGTTGTTTTTATTTCTTCTTTTTCCAATATTCTCAAGTATTATCTCTGATTGTTTTCTCGTTTTTTGTCGAATACTGATGATTTATTGTGTTTTGTCCAAATGTTCATTCTTCAGAATCTACGGCAGACTTTGGATGACCTGACACGTAATGGGTATTCTGTAGTGAGTATCATGACTTAAGATGGTGCTATCATAGTCTTCATGCTGTATACATTTCGATGGTTTGCAAGTGCGAATGTCAAAATCCACGAATGCCTTATATTTCTGTGTAAGATTGAATTGGTACAAAAACATATCTCACTTTGCCCTGCCCAAAAAGTTTCTATTGTTGGTTTATTGACGTCCAAACTCTGCTACACTTTGTGTTCTTTGTCGGTTCATTGACTACCAAACTGGGATCTCATTCTTGGATGGAGAATTGAGTAATTTTGTTTCATGATCTCTGTCGTGGCTTTGTTTATTTGGTTTCACAATTGGTCGAGTGTAAAATTTATCCGTCGCTGGTGTGTTTGAAATTCCACCTTATCCTGTAATCTTCTTCTGCAGTTTGTCTATAGCTGTTGGTAACTTTAGTGAAGATGAAGTTTATGGTATCCAGAATTTTAAGACAGAAAATAAATAAAGGAAAAAGAATCCTGTCTCACTGATGGTGAAGCAGTTATAATGAATCCACTATTTGATTAAATAAGGTAATTAACTGGGGAAAGTCATATGGAAATAAATAGGTTTATGAGTGTTTGTTTAATTAGACCTCTATATGATTGTAGCTATTTCCTTTCATAGCTGTTTTGTGTACTATTATATACTTTGTTATCATCTAAGGCCAATAAATGAGATTTATTAACAAGATAAATCTGGTGAACATTGGCGTTCGGTCAAATATTTGAATTATTTAATTTACTTTTTTTTAATTTATGCATTCATATTTTGTCTTTCCAATTTCATTGCAATTTGAATGGGCAGAGACCTTTAATTTCTAGTTTTTGCTTTTCTACCATTTCTCTTGTTGAAGTAAAAATATTTTTAAGTTACAAACACTCTTAACAGCTTAAGCTTTTAGAGTAGTTGGTGGTTTAACATCTCTTATGCGGTACTTTTGACCATTGTTTATGAGCCTTCACATAAAGTAATTGAAACTTTCCTATTTTTCTATTATTGTCGCAAGCTGTTCATAGCTATTCCTCCGTATGCAACCTCTGTGTGTGTGTGTGTGTGTGTGTAGCAGCCTTCCCTTGAGTTGAGTTCACTCTTAACATCCTCTATAAGGAGGAGGAAGATGCACTCGGATTTTTTGATAATATTTCATTAATTCTTGAAATTTTCTTTTATGTCATCCATTTTGCAAATCTTTTTAATTTATCCACAAATTTCTGGCTTTTTCGAAATAGTAGCACATTATTTTTCTCTAATAGTTAATTCGTTTTGTAAAATTAATTTGGCAAGTTTTGAAATGGTTATGTTTTGTAGTGCATAGTGGAGGAAGTTCAGGGTCCGACTCAAGCTCGTGCTCGTAAAAATCGTTTTATATCTGGGTAATCACATGTGAATTATTCTATACTTGCAATATGTTTTCTAAGTCTCTTGTTTATTCCCTAAAAGGAAGAAAACATTTATTATGCAGTCGGGTGTTTCAATTATATTTTCATGCATGATAATATTGAAGCAGTAAAATCCTACATCTGTTATTTTTATGGGTCTACTGATTGGGACATTTATCTCTTTATTTATGGTAGTGAGATGGTAATAGCTAAACCTATTATCTTTTATCTAATCTTTTGAATTAATCATTGGGATGACGATTATCTTGAAATGTAAAAGACAGAAATCACCTTTCTTGGTTATCTTTACTGTTCATTGGTTCAGTGGCTCATTTGTGGATTATGAAAATTGGTTGTCTTTTGATGGACTAGGAGGACTTAGATGTCTTTGTTTTTTGTATGGCAAAGAGAATGGGAATTTGGTACAACAGCTAATGCCATATTATATCTTGTCAAATTGGAAAATAAGTTGGATAGAGAACGTTCAATTCTAGAGAGTTGAATATTTAGATACTATATCCTGAAGCTGTTCGATTTAGATCCCACAACCTTCTGAGGTGATGGTCTAAATATTGCCATGCAGCCCAGTCTGAATTTCAGAAAACCATGCAGCTCATGTTGTTGACACTATCTTCTTCATGCACAGCTACAAGAAAGAATACAGTTAAGTCAAACTGCCAATATCAGAAGTGGCACTCTTATTCAAAAACAGAAAAAAATTAGAATCCGCCGCTAAAGGCTCTCTCCAAATTTCTCTTACAGATACGTGGCCTTTTATTGAATGAAGTGCCATATCCTATTTGATGTTTTCTGTTCCTTTGCTTGAGGGGGTTGTCTTGGATTCCTTGAAGCTTAAATTAGTATGAATGTGATTTACATAGTGTTTGGGACCATAACTCATCACTCTCCTATGGGCATATAATTACTTTTTAGGCAAATCTGAGGATATTCTTTTGACTAACCAGCCAAAAATCATATTATATTTCATAGAATATTCAATGGTGTTCCCAATACTGGGACATTTGAAGTTGTCTTATGCGTGTTCTTATTTTGGGTGTTCTGATTTGTAAGGTTTTGTTTTTTCGTTTTTGAGTTAACACCCACTTCTTGCTCTGACTTATTTTAAGTATTTAGGCATGCACATCCAGGTAGTCCTTATGTTTTTGGACTTGTCGGAGATGATCATGATCTTGATTTTCCGGAGCCAATGCCCGTAGTTGGTATGCAGAAACTTCATCTTTTCAACTCACGTGTTTTTAGTTGCTATGCCTTAGCAGTTCTTCAGTTTTGTGGTGTTTTTGCATGTTGATAACCTCAAAGTTTATCACATTTATTAATTGTCTGGTATTTCTAGGAATATCTCGATCTGCAAAGGGGTATTGCTTAATTTCGGTGCTGGAGACTATGAAGACATATTCTGCGGAGGATGGTCTGACTGAAGAAGCATTAGTTACCAAGCTCCGTACTTGTCGGCACCATCATTTGTTTTTGCACACATCATTGAAACACAATTCCTCAGGTGTGCCGCATTTCTTCTATATTAGTAGGCCCTGCTTACTTATTTGGACTTGTGATTTATGGAGTCATCTATATTTCTGAGATGGGAAGTCTTTTTCATATAAGTCACAGGCCAGTTAGCATTCCCAAAATGCAGATTCATTTTTTTCCCCCTGTGAGCATCTTTTCTGTTGGACTTCTAAATGTTTGTCCTGTTCTATTTAGACCATATATGAAATTCAAAACATTTCATGATGACTGTATTTATTTCTTGCAATCTTCTTGTTGAGTGGAGCTATCAATGTTGTTTAGAATGTAAAGATTCTATTTCATCTAATATGATTCTGAAAGAATCTAGCTGCAGAGTCTCATTAGATATGAAAGTATGCTTAATGGAATCTGTTGTGCGGTAATAGCAATAGGTTGTTTGGCTTATATATTAGTATGCCATGCCAATGCGGGATAAATAAGAAAGGACTGCATGTCCCAAGCTATGACATGCTCCCTTATTATTGTGCTGCATTAATAGTTCCATGTATTAAGGCGTCTGTTGGCTGAGTCTAGTATTTCTTGTTGTTGGTAGGTAATTTTTTTATTCTTGGTAGGATTGGCTGAGTCTTCCTAGGGGTTATTTCCTGACTTGGTCAGTAGTCATCACTTAACTTGCAATGCATCAGATGAATGGCTTGATGTTTTTATTTGCAATAGTCTATGAGTTCTATTTGCTCACTGTATCGAGTGGGCAGAGTTTAGAAGTTCTTGTATCTGTGAATGTGTTCTCTTGCCGTAAAACGTGAACAAATATTACTAAATGGTTCTTTTCTTGGTTAAGGAATGGTTGTGGAACCCATTGGTGGATTGGGTTGTGGATCACAATTGAGCCCTGACAGATAGGAAACTTTTGCTGCCTGCATCATCTGTTCTACCTCGTGGTAGTTATTTAGAATGGTCATAGTCTACAGGTTTATGATGAATTGTCTACCTCGTGGTAGTTATTTAGAATGGTCATAGTCTACAGGTTTGTGATGAATTGTTTTTAGGAGTGTGTTGTTGCCCAATGCAGTGATAAAATTCATTGGCTAACAACCACAATTTTGCCTGTTTCTATCAATCACATGCTTAGACAGTTCAGGTAGTGTAATGGTCTTGATAACTTAACAGACGAAGGTTATCCATTAAAGTCCAAGAATTCATTCGTTCTCTTTTGTAATGGATCTCCAATATATATTTGAACTATGAGATTTAAGAAAACACACATTGACTTTCAGGAAGCGAACTTGTTACATCTGAAGAAAAAGGCTGCACATGTTACAAATACTACTAGTTAGAAAAATGAGATAAAATAAAAAAAAATGACTTCTCGGAAGTGAAGTGAAATATCAAACACCCACCTTGATAGCTTGTACCAGTATACAATGATAGTCATCAGTTTAAGTTGATATGTATAAGAGGACAAATTTATGTCACTATTTGTTATTGGCAAATGTTTCCAAGTTTCAATTAATATCAAGGCCCATGTTTGATTCATTTCATTAGAGACTTCTTCACAGGGACTTGCCGGTGGGGAGAGTTTGGTGAAGGTGGGCTATTGTGGGGGGAATGTAATGCCAGATACTTTGAATGGTTTGAAGGCAATCCGGTCAATGAGCTCTTGATTAAGGTTAACATCTCAATTTTTTTATCCTTGCTTGTAATTTTGGCCTGGACATTTGTTATGATTATATGACTCAAATTATATATCTTAGTATTGTGCAACTATAGGTAAAGGAGCTTTACGGTCTGGATGATGAAGTAACATTTAGAAATGTGACTGTTGCTTCAGAAAATAGGCCCCGTCCTTTACACCTAGGAACAGCCACTCAAATTGGTCAGTTCAACTCTGTTACATTTTGAATGTCACTTTATATGGGCCAATGGCGTTCTATGTGTTGCATGCTTATTTTCAGGTGCTATACCAACTGAAGGAATTCCTTGTTTGTTGAAGGTGTTGCTTCCATCAAATTGCACTGGTCTGCCTGTTCTGTAAGTGAGAAATTTGCTGTTCTTTCCCCTTTTCACATCTTACAAATTGATATCAGCACTTCATTAACCCACACCACCGCCTCCCTCCCAAACTGGCCCCCTCTCTGTTCAGATCAACACGTCTAATGTGTAAACCTCCACCTTACTCTGGTGCTATTTCCACAGTCAACATAAGCTAACCATTGCTGGCAACACATTGAAACCCACCTCCAGAGATTAACGAGTTCTACATGTTTTCCAATTTTTAGTGGGTATACGATAATATGATAAGGAACTTGATCCAATATATTGGGTGAGTTTGTGGGACCTTTTGAAAGATGTTGAACATAATGGTGTTGGTTCTGATTCTATTGGATATTGGTGGTTGCTGATGGTTGATGAGTTTTAATGGCTGTACGTAGTTGTGACTCGGTTTGTTTATGGTGGTGGAAATGAATGGTGGTTGTGGTGTGGCGTGCAATTGGGGTGAAATGTGGAGGAATTGATAAAATCTAGCTGTGGAAGACTGGAAAGGTTTGGGGTGGTTGTAGGGGGTGTTGTGAACTTGGTGGCGAGATAAAGTAGAGAGAGAGAGATGTGGAAGAAGGTAGAAGGAAATGGTGATGAGAAATGAATATTTAGAAAAAGCAGAGCAGGAATATAAGGGAAGGTTATGGTGGGTTCAATAATCAGTTCGAGTGAAGGACTAAGGCATCATTTTCAATTTGAATGTGTCGAGTCTGATGACTTCTAATCTATTCTCAATCCAAAAACTGAGGGTTAAGGACTTCTCTATTACCTGTCCTTGGGAGAAAACAAAAGGGTATAATGGTATCTTCACTTCCTTCAATGACATAATCTGGTGTTTAATGGGTATATGATCCTTTGTAGGATTTTTATGTTTGTTGGCATATGGTTTGGAGTTTGGACCACTTGTCCACCTGTGCTCCTTTTTGTAATACATCTTAATAACCCTATGATGATGTATATGTGGGTTCTGTATTTTTTTTCTTCCCCTTTATTTTTTTCCTCTTTATTGGTGATTGGTGGCTAGAACTTTGCATTTCTTAACTATTAGGCTTCAGTGTGTTGGTCAAATTCTGTGACCCAAATTGTATTGAATCTTGGTTCGATTGCTGAGTCGAGAAGTCCATTGGTTCAAGAAGTTTTCAAGATTAAAGACTGGAATCGTGATGATAAGAAGACAGTTCAAGCTACATCCTTGGAATCTACCTGTTAAGGACCGTCGATCTAGAGGTCAAGTGAATTTAGTTTGGCTTTGATTAGGTTAAAACTGCACAGTGACCGAGACTTACACATCTGTAGCATGACTCATATTTTTGTTACTTGGAAAAATATTTTTGAAACACCTTTGGAGTCATATTATGGAGCCTCAATGAGCACCGCTTCTTGGCGCTCAAAAAAGTATTTCGAAATTTGGTTTTAGGTATCTAACCTAGTGAATGGTGCTTGCCTCAGCTCTATCTTAGCACTCGAGCGGTCAGTGCAAAGTTGGAAAAGAGAATTGCATTTGAGAGATCAACGCACGATTAGGGCTCAAGTGGTTTGTGGTCTGGAAGCTTGGTTCAGCTGCTAGAGATTGCTTAGGGCTCGAGTGATTAGTTGCGGTTCTTCAGACTCAATTTCCTAATGGGATTGGAATTCTTTTCCAACGTAAATAAGAAAAGACTGAAAATATGAGAAAATCACTTACTCTTGAGAGGGTCAAACCCTAGCCTTGCAAGAAAGAGAAGTATCACCACTAGGGGCTTTTAGGTAAACACTTGAGTGATTCAATACATAAAAGCATATGTACTTCGTTTGCACAACCCTTGTAGACCAGCACAAACTTTCAGAGACAATTCATTAGCTACGGAGGATTGTGGGAGTAGAGTTTGAGGAGGGTGATTCCTGGGAGTTCAGAAACTAGTTAAAGACTAGAGGAAAGGTTAAGTCAGAGGTAATCGGTTGTGCTGTAACTCTGTTGAGTCTGGTAACAAGTTGAATTGATCTAGTGAGTAGTTTGGCTGGAATAGGTCCCGTGGTTTTTTTTCTGTTTGAGTTTTCCATGTAGAAATGCTATTTTTATGTTTGTGTTCACATTACATGCGACTTTTGTTTTTCATATCTGCAATTGTGCATTAATTGGACAATTTTTTTGCATATCCGATGTTGAATTGGTTTTAACTTTATTTGGTAATTTATTCTGCATTTTGCGAATAAGACTTATTGACCTCGTATAGGCCCAATAGGATTTGTCTGTAGACATCGATATGCACTCTCAATAACCAATGACAACTCTTTCTCTCTCGTACTAGTGGTCAACAAGCTCATGGTGAATTACCTTAGCTTCCCAATTCCTTCATATAATGCGCATGTGTGTTCTTCTATTTTTAGTTGAGATAGTTCATGCATTTAATGTTTGCATGGTTATCTTGTATATAATTCAGATTATTTAGTTGTACCTTCCTCTGGCATGGTAGGAAGGGTCCTTGGTTTTGTTGACTATTGTTATCTCAAGTATGTTAGAGATCTCCTTTTTCCTTGGTTACGTCAGCTATTGTTATTTCAGGTATGTTAGAGATCTCCTTTTGAATCCTCCTGCTTATGTGATAGCATCCACCATCCAAGGTATATTGATGCCCATGTTTATAGGTTGCTAGTGTTGTTTGATAATCCTTGCTCGGATTCAGATTTTTTCATGTATAATTTCATCCTTTTCTTATTGTTAGAACATCCAACTCAAAACCAATTGGTGATGGGTGGAGAGGGCTCTTCATAATATAAACAACGTTGGACTGTCTTAATCTTTCTATGTCGGATACAATCACCAAAAACCAACAAAGACCCAATTCTGATACCATGTGAACTTAGATCAATTAAGGAGGAGGAAGAGAAAATAAATCCATGGCTGCTCACTAATATGCAATAATTCAAAAGACAGGTATCGGAGATAAATTAGACAAGAGAGAATGCAAAACTTTACAACAAGGAAATAACTAGACTACCTGTAATGAAAAATAAAAAACATTGAATATAATCTAAAATACCATCTTAACACTTTTAGTGTGAATAATGCTTCAAACTTCAAAGCATCATATATAAAGTATAAAACATATGCACATACATATTTTCTAGCCTGATCTTGTTACATTGATCTATCAGTTGTTAATGTGTGATGATATGCTTAGGTCACCAATTGTGAAATAGTGTCTAGTATCTTTACATCTTTTTTCAGCAATTATGAACACATTTTTGTCATTGATTTAAAGTTAAGCTTAGTTTTTGAAGATTTTTCATGTGATTTCCAAATATATTTGTTGTTTAAGCTATGTAGTTATGTGAATAATGTGGTTGAATATGGTCTTGTCTATATGTTTTTTTCTATTTATTTATGTTGAAACATAAATATCTAAGTTACACTTTCTCTATCAACTTAAGCATTTAGAGCAGATGTTGGATTAGCACAGTATCAGAGGTGGCAGTTATGTGTTTGAATCTCACTATTACGTTAATAATCAAAAAGATTTCCATGTGCTAGATAACCTAGACCTAAAATATAACCAGCATGTGAGGGAGTTATAATAACTACAGTTACACCTTTTCTATTAGCTTAAACTTCTAAAGCAGATGATGATTTTTTATTTTTTAATTTGATAGGAAACGAGAAAATTAGTGATATAAAAGAAAAGAAAATAAAAACAAAAGGCATGTCAATGGTGGACAAGAAGTCCAAACCAAAGAAAAAAGCAGGCAAAAAAACCTAACCAGAAAACATCAAAACCAAAAATTAAAAAATAACTAACTATCCGCACGAAGGACAGCTCGATATAATGCAAAAAAGAGGGACATCCTTAAACTTTTTCGTCATGGACGTCAAAAAAGAAGCCATAATATAAATCCACTCCCAAATACTTTCAATCTCCTCACTTTTTTCCTTAAAAAATCTTCTATTCCTTTCCAACCAAATGACCCATATAGTAGCAAAAAAAAACACAGGCGCAAAGGGTTCTCCACCTGTTATTTCTTCTCCCTTCCATAACATCCAAGCCAATCATAGAAAACACAGTTCTAGGTGCCACCCAATTAATCCCCGGATTAAAACACAGCCTGTTCCATAGTGAAAGTGCAACAGGACAATGTAAGAATAAATGATCCACAGTTTCACTATGGCTTTTGCAGATTGCACACCATTGCGGTAACACAAGCAAACCATAGGTCTCCTTCTTTGAAGCATATCATAACAATTCATTTGGGCGGGATGGTTGACAACAGCCTTGTTAAATACTTACTTTCCGAAGCCCCGTGGGAGAGCGATAAACTTCCTACCTCAACTTCAATCGGTAAACTAAGTACTTCAACTTCAAGAAGTACTTCAATTTCAAGAAGTACTTCAACTATTGAAATTAACGACTTCAACTTCAATGGATAAACCTACTTCTCATACTAAATTCACTTCTTTATGAATCACTTTATTTGACTTTTCTAAAGTGGAATTCCAGAGTAAAGGCTTTACTTTTATAGAAGCTAAGGTAAGAAGTAAATCGCTTTGGTTTAACAATTCATTTTTAGATGTTTATCCACAAGCAACTATGCTTGCTAACCTTCACAAGTTTTGAAATGATCAAAAAATAAAATAAAATAAATATATTGGCTTTATCCACAAGCAAATGCTTGTTAACCTTCACAAGCTTTGAAATATGCATTCACAGCAAAGGGGAGGAAGATTTCACCACACACAAGCTGCTAGGGAATAGGAATGCCGCCTTTTAATGCTTCGCTTGGTTTCTGAGAGTCTTCATGACAATGATCTTCATGATGTTATTCCTTTTTGGCTGATTGGGTTGGCATATATTCCCCTCATTATTGATTGAATGGGGTTCAATTTACAGTGACTTCAGTAACAGACTTGAAATGATGCTTTTGTTGGGTTCATTGACAGAAAAAAGAAATATAAATCTGTGCTTTCAAGCTGTTATCGTCTTCATATGAGTAGTTATTCTTGTGTATTAATTCTTTGTTCCAGTGCCTTTCGTTGTACTTGATTGCAGAAGTCAACCATTGTATGAGGATAGTATAATTGATGTTTTTGAAAATTGCTTTGTTGTTCATCATAGATCTTCATTAATATTTATGTCTTCATATATGGGTATTTAATCATCATATATTTATTGTTGCTGAAGGATCTGTACTAAGTTTCTATTTGATTTTTGCAGCAATATGCAAACTTATGGGCAATGTAACATGCTCGATTCCTGAGTTTACTTGTGTATCTTCAGCAAAGGTTGTACATGAACTACCTTGTTTTACCCATATTCAGTATCTCAGATAATTTTTTTCGGTTTCTGTAAACCAAATATGAATTCCTCCTCATTGCTGTTGGATCTCTATATGAGTATGAAAATTGTTTTCATGTTTCAATCATTTTTGTGATTGTGATCTTTTTTCTGATATTTGAAAGAGATTTGGAGTGTATTGTCAGTTGGAGTACTTTTTGCTTGTGCAAAGCATATATTCTTTCTTACACTTATTCAATGTTTTTTAAACGGAATGCAGAAGGCACATGTTCCACAAGCTTACAATGTCTGCTGTCTCCTAATGGAAGATCAATATTATATGGGTTAAGGGTGCCACATGAATGCTGTGGTGGTTTATCTTAGGTTTTAATCAGTTTTTACCTCTCCTGCTGATTAGAGGTTCACTCTATTTGTTTATTTTCTTAGATTCAAGAGCTCAAAAACTAATGTGCTACTAGATGTACAATACAAAATATTTGTTTGATTAGAGGAATCTTAAATTCATGACGTTGAAGTTCAGCATTCATGTGTACAAAAGCATGTGGTATATTTTGTATGTATTTCATGCTTAAATTGCAAGCTGTTGCTATTTAAGCATGAAAAATGCTGCCCTACTTGGTAAGCTCAGATAAGATGCTTGTGTTGTGTGTATGTGTGTCTCGATGATGGAATGCTTGCACTTGTATGTGCTGCTCATCTTGGCTGAAACTTCAAAAAATTGTTGAAATATCATTTTTCCCTTTGTGAAAGAGGAATTACTGTTTAACTTTATATACGAGTTCTCGTATATATGACGACAGTACTTGCATTCAAAATCTGATAAGTAGATGTCTTCTACTTTCTTTTGTAGGTTAATTATTATTTTTTTTGATAGGAAACAAAAATATTATTATTAATAATAAAAGGATGTAGAACAAAAGGAAAGCATAGGTGGGGAAGTAGTCCAACCCCATTGCAGAATAACAAAAAAGCAGTACATAAAAACAGAAAACGAAAAGTTATGGTCTTTCTTTCTTACACAAATGGCATTAATTATTCGTGATAGGCATTAATCATTTTTTACACAAATGGGATATGCTTATGATTCACAGTGAATATGCATTGAGTTTGAGGTAAAAAGACTCTGAATAACAAATTTTGCTTCAATGTGGTGGTTTGTGGGATGAAAATCATGTAATCTTTTGGTGCCAAGTATTTTATACATTAACTTAAAAACCAGTGCTGAGTAGTTAAAAACCCCTTGCATGTTATTTTTATGTCTTTCTGGTGTGTTGCCCTGTTTATCACAGGCTAAGAGTGTTTTGCGGGAGAGAGGAAATAGTCAAACAATATTGTTTTAGAACGGTGGTGGTGGTTAGGGGACAGATGTTAATGCTAGTAGATGTTTGGTGCTGGATCTTGTAAGGGGACAGATGTTAGTGCCAGTAGATGTTTGGTGCTTGTTGTGTTGGTATTGGATCTATTGATAATCATGCAGGGGTGGTAGAAGTGTAGTTGGATTTGGAGGTGAAGGAGGTGGCATTTTGTCATAACTCATAAGTGGTGATAAGGTGGCACTTGGCTGTGGTAGTGTAGCTGCAACGACGGATCTGGTGGAATGACCAAGGATGCTGTTCATGAGCCATTGATCACATCAAAATCTTCGGCGAAAAGTCAGCAAAACTCGTTTAAAGATGGCTGGAAGTATGTTGAGAGTTGAGTGCTGTAGGAAAGTTGCATTAGAGAGTTTGTAAGCTCCAATTGATGGCTTGAAATTTCACATACCTGGTGAGAATGTTAGAACGATTTTTGGTCTACAAAATGTAAAAATAATGATTTGTGTGGATCAACCAAACATTTGTTGGTTTTGATTGATGCGAATTATTGTTACACAAACTCAAACCACCCCCCCCCCCCCACAACAAAAAAAAAAAAACTAAAAAAAGGGGAAAGAAAGAAAAAGATAGTGAGAGGATGTGGAGAATGTCAACAATTGTGCTTGATATTGTCATCAAATTTGTTGCTAGGGCTGTTAATCAAGCCAAGCCTTTCAAATTTAGACTCGGCTCGAATTGTTAAAAGGCTGATCGAGTGCAGCCTGGGCTCGGATATCGAGTCTAAATTTTTGTTCAAGCTTGGCTCAACATAGGCTTGAGCTAACCTTGAGCCAAAACTGAGCCCTAAAACTAAATCTCTAATCTACACTCCCACACATCTGAAATCTCAAATTCAAGAGTTCAAAATAAAAAATCTAAACTTCAAATTTTTAAACTGCACATAAAATTTACAAAATTCCAAATCTAGAGACAAACTCGGCATAAATTTTTTTTGCATCGCATAACACATTGAAAGCCTATTATAACACACACCCAATAGTCTGGAGATCTAAAACCAACCGAAAGTCGAAGGGTTGATGAGGAAGAGTTCTATGGAGGCATAACAGAGGAAGAAAGAATGTGAAGAACAAAAGACAAAAAAGAAAGAGAGAAGAAAGGGGAACATTGAACTATTGAAGTTTGATACCCTAATGTGAGATTTTTTTGGGGGCCGGGGGCCCTGGGGGTTCAATGTTATCACTTTTATTGGAGAGAAAGAGAGAGAGAGTGCACACATCACGTTGGTGGGAAGACTTTATTGGGGGGAGGGAGGGGAAGAGGAAGAGGCAGATGTAAAGTTTGGAAATATTTTGTCCTTACTTTATTACTTTTACTAGAATTCCCTTATAACTTTTGAGTGACTATATTTTGTATCACTGGTAAAAATGTCAACAATAAACATATCAATGATAAATGAGCCGGCTTGTGAATAGCTCGGCACGGGTTTGGCTCGGATACAAAACGAGCTTAAAATATTATTCAGATTCGGTTCATATTAAAAAACGAACGAGCTTGAGCGAGCTAAAAAATGAGCCGAGCCCGAGCTACTCGTTTCGTTTAACAGCCTAGTATTTTAGTTTCCAGCATTCCTGTGTGTCTCTCTGGTTGCTTTCCATAGAGCTTAGTTCTGTAGCTAAATTTATCCCTTTGCAGTTAAATCTCTAACAATCTTTTCCTCTTTGTTAGTTTGTAAGAATGACACTTTTGTTTTTCCTTCTTTATCAAGCACCTTATCTTTTCTCCTGATATTTATTTGTATATCTCATGTTTGTTATATCTGAGGCCTGACATCACTTCTATTTTGCAGCTTGTGAAGCTGCTCGAGTTGAGGGAGGTTAATCATATTGAGTTTTGCAAGATCAAATGCGTGCTTGATGAAATATTGCGGATGCATAAGAACCCTGAGCTTAGTGAAATCCTGAAATTATTGATGGATCCTACTTGGGTGGCAACTGGTTTGAAAGTTGATTTTGAGACATTGGTAAGCAATAAATTTAATTTATGCATTGGATTTTATTTGTTCACCATTCATTCTAAATTTATCATGTGATTACTTGAGAGAAATGTTGTGGTTATTCTAAGTATAGTTGTTAGTATTGTACAATACATATCACTCAAGTGTGTTGGTTGTGCACCGTACCGTAACGTCTTTTCACATGTAAGTAATTTTTGTAAACCCTAGGTTATGAAATGACGCCGTTTCACTATCTAGGGTTTTAAAAAAATAGAAGTCTTCTTTTGTTATTTGTTCCATCGCTGGAACAAATAGTTTGATTGCTAGAAATGTCCTCCTCTAGCTCCTCTAGATGCTAGAACTAAAACTCTTTAAAATTTGATATTGATGAATTATGTTAGAAACTTGAATACTTAGATTGTTAATTTTTTGTTTTGGTTCTTGTAGTCTCTTTAAATTATTTTATATGACAATTTTTGGTGCAATGAAATTTTATTATGACATTTTTTTCATAGGTATATGTATTTTTTAATATCTTTTATAAAACGCGATACACTGTTTATGAAAAATGATATGGCTTTTGATACACGTTTTTTGAAAACCTTAATTCTAAAAATGCACCTCTAGTGTGGGCACTTGAGCACCTCCGTTAGTCAATTCAAACAACTATTTTCAATTGGAGTAAGGTTTCATAGATTAGAAACTTGAGGGACTTAAGTGATGATCTGAAAGAATGATGACCAACGAATGCATACTTGAGGGACCATTACTGTTTTTTTTCTCAAAATAATTTAAGCAATTCCTCATGAGAAAGAAGAAGAAAATTTTGATTATAATATTTTGCACCGTGTTTACGTGGAAAAGAAAAATCAGAGCCTTAATAATTGAGGATTCTCATATATCCACTCTGAAATCTTTATAGTTGGTAAATGCTAATGGTGCAAACCTTATTATTTGAATTGAATTATGTGAATCACATATGTGATGCGCTCTATGGTCATTTACTGTTTTATTGACATCTCATGTGGGACAATAAATAAAGATGGTCATTGGTTTTATTTGTCTTTGGGTTTTGAGGTACTAATCATTTTGAAGCGACAGTAACTTCGAATGATTTTTCTACATTTATTCTTTCTTTTCCTTAATAAAGATATTTGAATTGCTTTTCCTTTTACTCTTGACATTATTTGAGTGCTGTTCTTTATGATTTTAGCAATGGTTTTGTTTTCTTTCTCATATAAAAACTTTAAGATTTGGAAGTTATGTTGATATTTTGTTTTTTGGTTACTTTGGTTAGCCTTAGTGCTCCCAATTTTGACCATTGGCAGGAGGTTTCTGGCTGTGTGATGAAGCAGTATTTTTAAAGGTCATCAAGGGCTGTTATTGACTATGCTTTGTCTGTTTTACCCCTCAATTTTACAATTTGGTTTCTCGGTTGATGCTCGTTTCTATGGGACTTGAATTAGTTGCAGGAGCATAACAAAAGGAGCATAAATTTTTGTGACCCTTTTGCAGTGTATGTTCTGTCAAATCATAAGCATTCTGTGTAAATGAGGAAATATATAAAAAGAATATGGAAGCATTTGCATAGGTTATTGTAGAGTGAAAGCAGCCATTTGACTTGGCCCCCCAAAAGCAGCCATTCGGAGATGAACAGTTGGGAATTAATGAAGAATTTCATTGATGAGGGGCATAGAATGTTAAGTTTCTGGCCTATCCACGTTTGTAAAGATTTTCACAGAGTACAGCATACTGTACTTGCTGATGAATTTTATGCCCTTTTTATCTCCTACCTTTTTTCCTTCCCCTTTCCTTTAACAAACTTCCTTCACATTCCTGTCAAAGGTCTGAAGGGCTCTGAAAGTCTACAGAGGTGACATATTTCATTCATTACGCCTCAAACAATGGACTCAATTTCTATTTTCTGCCATGTGGCAAGACAGCTGTTATCTAATGCCTTGAAATTTTCTTCCTGACTAATAGTGCCAGAGGTGTTTCTATAATTTGTGGCGCAGTTTTTTGCCCAGTTTCCTGCTTTGTATTACCTATTTGGAGCTGTCGGAGATTAATTGGATTGTCATTTTTCTCCTCTCTCCCCAACTTTTTCATGGCAAGCGGAGTTGTTCATCCATATTTTCAGTAATGGAAGCAATCGTCCCTACCGTCGTAAAATAAGAGCACCTGGCTCTGCCCATTCACAAGGACTCGATTCTATGTCCAAACATCACATGCCAGTGGATGTGGTCACCGTCATAGGTACTCAAGATATTGTGTTTGGAGAGGTGGATGGATAGGACTACTAGTTGCTTGATCAGGACCCTAGCTTTATTGCGAACCAAAAACCTTGATAGATTCCCCATTGTCTGCATTAGGAGGTTCTTCCTTCATCAAGTAGCGACATTTAGCCGCACCTAATTGTGTGGGCAGCATATCATAGGGTGTAGCCACTAGCCATGACATTGTTACTAAATTGCACATGACAGTTGGTCTCCTAGACGAATCCTTCGACGCTTAATATTTTGAAATAAGACATTAGATATAGTTGACTTGAGCTTATTGGGACATTTGATTTTTTTCGTGTAATTAGCAATTTAGGTCTTGCGTGTTGTGGCCAGGTGCGTGGTGTGTTTTTATTGTGTCCATTCGTATGTAGTGACATTTCCACCTCTAATACTTCACCGAAAAAAACCATGCACCTAAAAAAGAGGAAAAATCTCTCATCCAAGATTGACGGTGATGAACCTTTTAGAAAAGACATGATCAAGGATACAGGGATCTTAGGCAGCCCGTCCGTTTCACGATTTGGGGTTGTTCGAGCCCAAATGGGGTGGTTTGCAATCTAGATCGTCTAAATTCCTCATTCCAAATTATGACCTTTATTGTAACCCTAATACCACATTGTAACCATACGTAATACTTAATTTATTTTTGTTGGTGCTTTGAAGTTATATTTTGACTTGTGATTTGAATTTTTTTCATCATGCAAATAAATAGCCATTAACTTTTATTATTAACAGCCATCAGCCAATACAGTTTTTGGATTAAGTTCGTTTTGGAACAATTGTCTGGAGTATAAACTAAATATTATTGATTATATGGGATGTATGGATGGATAAATATCAACAAAAGTTCCAAAACGAATTGCAACCCAAAAGAAACATATTAAGTCTACCCTCATCGCACCTCCTATGGGAGAAAGTATATTATTTCCTACACGTACTGTACCATGTACCAAGTCGACCAAAGGCCCAGGTACTAGTTCATTGAATTTGTTCATAAGATTGAGTAGGATTTTGCAAAGGACTTTTGTAACTGAATCAAGTACTTTGAATTGGGGATTATTCTCTTGGTCAAGTTTTGAAGTGTAAGCTCATGTTTGAATGCTGAAGCAATGAAAAAGAAGCACCAGATTTAAATATCATGTATCTCAGGTTTTCCAGTATATTGAGAGCATTCCTTTCAACAAGTTTTAACTTGGCCCAGTGTCTGAAGACATATTGAATTCATTTCTTATTTATATGTGTTGTATGTCTTGAAAGGTATGACTAAAAATGGTTGAGAACTTTGTGTTACTTGTGAGGTTTCCCTGGTATTGAAGTCAATTTTTTGGCTGCGCTTTTCCATGCTTCTATGTAGCTTTTGTTCTTAGCATGTGGCTGGTTCATGCTTCACATGCTCTTTCTAAAATCCTTTGAATTTTACATATTCTCAGGTTTCAGTTTATAGATTGTTCTTACCACATGATGCTGTTGTACTTGACATGATCTTTACATCTGACTTCAGCGTAATATGAAATAGCTAATATCTTACATTTGATTAATGCACCTAATTTTGTTGCCCTATTATTCCTCTAGGTGAATGAATGTGAATGGGTTTCTCATAGAATTGGCGAAATGATATCTTTGGATGGTGAATATGATCAAAATATAAGTTCTTACCCTATTATTCCAAGTGACTTTTTTGGGGATATGGAATCGTCCTGGAAAGGTCGTGTGAAGAGGATCCATTTAGAGGAAGCGTTTGCAGAAGTGGAAAAAGCTGCTGAGGCCCTATCTTTAGCTGTAAGTCTTTTGCCTTGACCTGCTTGTTCTTTATGATCGTATATTACATTGAATGGCTGTTGCTTTCATTCCCTCCCTAATATGTGCAGCAAGATAAAAGCGATCCCTTCTCTAGGGGAGGATTGCAAGTATAGGGATGTTCAGAATTATGGAATAGTTTGTGCAGGCACAAGTTGAGAGTCAGTTTGGTGAGTCTTTGCGAGTTCACTTGAAGTAGGTTGGCTGTTGGTTATGTGCCTACTAGAATCAGATCATGTATGGATGGCCCCAATCATAAAATAATTGATAGAACTGAGGACAAGGACTTCGCCGTAAGTGTAAGATTAAAAGAAGAGAATAATTAAGTACTTTTAGGCAAAGATCAAAATTTTATTTCGGTGCATAACTTTGGTCAACTTAGAAGCAGGAACGTTTTGAGAACAAAATAGAAACAGAAAAAAATTAGGAATTTGGATTCCAAAACATTTCACATCATTGGAAGAACATTCGGAAACATTCTTAAACCTTAGAATTTTGATTTCCAATCATGTATTCATTCGGCTTTCGGTTAACCGAAATGCTTTACTTGAAATTGACCTGGACGAAATATAATTTTGATCTTTTTTTTCAGGTAATACATAAGTTTAGAAGAAGAGAACTATAAAGATAAAGCAAGCATGAATCATGCAACTTAGGCCCTGTTTGGTTTGCGTTTCAAAAACAGGATCTGAAAACAGTTTTTGAGAAGAGATTTAGAAAAATATTTTTGATGTTTTTTGAGACAAAATTTATTTGGTTTAGATGATTTCAAAAACATTTTTATCGAACGGAAAACAGTAAAATTTGTTTGGATAGCGTAAATATATGTTTGGATAATAATTAAAAAATTAATAAAAAAATATGAGAAAGTTATTTTTAGATGGACATTTCATTAAAAAAATTCAATAAATCAAATTTTAAAATATGAAAAAATTCAATGGGCTTCAATTTATAACAAATTCAATATAATTTATAACAGATTCAATATCATTTTATATATAAAATCAATTAACCAAACACCAATAAATATTTTTGAACCAAAAAATCGGATTAATAACAGATGCAATATATATATAAACCAAAAGAATTAGATCAGATCCAAAAAAAAAAAAATCAAATCTGTGTTTGAACGCTGATTGAACTAGATAAAAAATCAGATCTGAACCAATAAATCGTTGTGTCGTGTGTGTGTTTGTGTTCCAAAGTAGATCCAGTCATTGGAAAGCTCTCAATCATAGGAACATACGACCTCTAGTCACCATAGAAGACGACCTCCAGTCACTGGAGAAGACGCTGTGTGTGTGTGTGTGTGTTTTGCTAGAGAAGAACGGTTTCCAAAGACGACGTTCTGTCTGAGAGCGTCTATGGAGAGAGAGAAAGATGGGGAGAGTGAGAGTCTGGGAGAGAGCAAGGCAAAAGAAAAAAAAAAGAAGCTTTTATAGCATGACTTGTTTTGCTTCTAAGCGGATTCGAAGGGGAGACTTCATGAATGACTTCAATTGTTCTCCATGTTTTTCATTTATATCTTCTTTTGTCTCCAAAACACCCAAAACAAGTTCAGCTTGTTTCCCATTCTTTGTTTTTTTCATCCCTCTTTTTTTGAAAATTAGAGAACAAAAAACTCAAACCAAACAACTTCTTATTTTTTGAATTTTGAGAACAAAAAATTGTTTTCAAAAACTAAACCAAGTAGACCCTTAGATTTTTGGCATTCAAAATTTTTGTATTTAGTGACATCCCTAAAAAGGACATTGAATTATGATATCATGACAACTTTGCAAAACATGAGACGAGAAACATCTAGTGGTAGGCTAAATAGACGTCCCCAGCAGTGTAGTTAAAACAATGTATTTGCCAGCTGTGTTAGTTAAAACAAGGTGTTTGCCATCCTAAAATTGGCTAGGGACAATGGGATGAGAGATCCTTGGGACAATAGCTACCCAAAATTTGTTGGTAGCATTTACTCAAAGCATGGTCCTGAGGATTAATGCCATTGGAAGTGTGGCAGGCATAAAGTATAGGTAGTTTATTTCAAAGTGCATTACAAAGTGAGGGATTCCGTGACCAATTTTTTTCTTTAGTGAGTGAGTAAAAAATAGAGAGAAAATTACAATTTTGCTCCTACGAGTACCTTGACAGCTATTGAGGAATGACCAAATAAGGGTTCATCGCGTTCTTTGATATCTCGGAGAATACCATAATTTGAATCGAAAAATAAGAGAAGTAAAAAATTTGTGATGCTCATTTAAGATGCAATAGCATCACATGATGTTTGTTGTCACGGTGTAACTTTCTGTTTGCAACTTTTTTCATGAAGGAGGCTATTTGTGAAGGTGTTGCCTCAATAACCAGTCACTCGAACTTGTAAAGGGGCACACAGATGCACAAACAATACACGATGCACAGGAAAAACACTCCACAACCTTATATTACTGCCCAAACAATACAAGGAAACTCACAAATCTGGTTAAGGGCTCCCTGCCTACAGATTGCCTTGACATTCTCTATTTATACTAGGAATATGGCAGTTGACACCCCCAACTGCCTAGGTTTTACTGGCTCACTAATGAGTCAGTTGCATGGGCATGAGAGTTTCCAGCAACAACTGCCATGTCAGGCTGCATCTCTGTTTGACAGGTGGCTGACAGTTCCTCCAATTTAGCCCTTTACTTGGTAACCACTAGCTCGCCCATGATCAGGTCATGCCTGATAACTGCCCTCAATTGCTTCTCATGATCAGGTCATGCACATCAATCGCTTTCGACCTCCTAGTTTCATGCTTTGAGTAGCCCAGTCCCAGCTATGTGCCTACAAATCTGCAGCCAAGCCTTGCCTAAGAACCAACTAAGCATGTTGAGCCAAGTTTAAGCTATGCCTTGCGAAGCCATGTACCAACATTACATCAATTGTGCCCATTACATGCTGCCTTCCTCTGCCATATTGTCTTCCATAGCTATGGGTCCCCACAAATTTTTTAGTCTCACCATTATCTCGTGTTCCCTTGTCTGCCTTGCGGCCCTTCCCCCACCCGTGGCAAGGACCTTGTGCATGCTTTTCCAGCGATGCCAAGGCTTGGGGGCACAAGGCGGCCCTTGGTGCCCTTCAATTATCACCACCTTTTATATATGCTCTTAGAAGGTTTTCTAAAGTGACATGAGCGGACAACAGCTGAACCGAGGAAGCATAATGATGAGAGCCTAGGGTATAGTGCCTGGATCTTTTGTTGAACACCTTGCTACTTCACCTTGCTTCAAAGTCATGGAGTGCCTTGGTGTTAGGTGCCACCAAGACACGTCCATTTCTGCCTAAGTCAATTAGGGTCTGACACTAGCCTACTAGGTTGACACTGCAAGCTCGGCTCATAGGCTAGTGGCTAATATATTCCGGTGTTTATTTTGAGTTCCTCTATCCATCTTTATAAATTCATGTCTGATATCTTTAATCTTGTAAACAGTGCTTTATAAGATTTGTTTTCAACATTATTCTAGGTTACAGAAGATTTCCTCCCAATTGTTTCAAGAATAAAAGCTACCATAGCCCCATTCGGAGGACCAAGAGGGGAAATATTATATGCTCGAGAGCATGAAGCTGTTTGGTTTAAGGGAAAACGTTTTGCACCAACAGTTTGGGCTGGTACCCCAGGAGAAGAACAAATTAAACAGCTCAGACCTGCTGTAGATTCGAAGGGTAAAAAGGTCGGAGAAGAATGGTTTACCACACCAAAGGTGGAGGATGCTCTAGCAAGGTGGACTCTCTAGAAATAGTTATGGAAACCTTCCTATTTGTTTACTTAATTTATGTTCTCCAGAATACTGAGCTTTCTAATTTCCATCTCAGGTACCATGAAGCAGGTGCCAAGGTAAAGGCAAGGGTCTTGGAACTGTTGAGGGAACTTTCTGCTGAGTTACAAATCAAGATCAATGTCCTTGTCTTTGCATCCATGGTGCTCGTCATTGCAAAGGCATTATTCGCCCATGTGAGGTCGGGTACACAAAAGTAGATTTTCCGTAGATGTTAGAGATGATTTTCTACTTTGCATTAGCAGTATTTCTATCCTAATCCATACTATTTACGGCCTTGTTGATTGTTTTCTCTTACTTCATGTAGATATTCATGAACTTGTGGCGTAACCGTGTTGGATATTGTTTTGGCTTAATTGCCTAGGTGAAAATGAAAAATGCTAATTTTTTTGTCTATGGTCTTATACTATTCATGTGCAACTCAGTTTATGTTGGTTTACTGACGCCGATCTAGGCTAAGGGATTGCCTCAACAATGTGAAAATTAACTATGCCAAATTGTGTGATAGTTAGATTTATTGAACGATATTGGACTATTTTACATATGAATTGCTTAAAGTAATTTATAAGAGGTTGAGTCTGGATTTATTGCTTGAAATCTATGGCATGCAAATTTAACCATGTTTGCAATGAGAGAGCTGGAGACGGAGATTCGGTTACAAGTTTCTGAAAAATTGATAACCTTATTTATTTATTTATTGCAAAGCTAGTAAGAGCCAAGATTGTAATTGGTAGAAGAATTCCAATTCCTGCCTAAAACGATTAAAAGATCTTTTCGCCAGCCTTTATATTTATAAAAAATTGCCTTGTCCTCCATGTTCTAACACAACTTGTCCATCTCAACATATCAGCAACTGCTGAGTCTTTTTCTTGATGACTGCCAGATTAAGGTGTTAGTTTGACTTGTTCTCATTGATATTTTGGGACATCTCTTGTCATTGGCTGAACCAAAATCCCACTCATGAATGGAGATATCTGCTATCAGTTCTCTCAAAATTCTTTCATACTTTGTATCATCTTCACTTTCTAAGGTTTTTATCAACTAGATTCTTGAAAAGCACAACATCTGTGAAACCAATGATCATTGCATCATCTGTGTAAAGGAGTCGGCCATATTTTTTTTGTACTTTGGATGTATTCATATTTCATTTGGCATGTGAATGATCTTATGTTAATGAATGTTGGGACAGAGTTTGCCATTGCTTTCCCCCTATGGAAACTTAGCAAAAAATATTGCGAGATGACATGATTCTAATTTTTTTTTATTATACTCATGGAGACTTTTAATGTGGTACTTAGTGTTATCTTACTGCATATGACAAAATATTCATGTTTTGGCTTAAAGGTTCATCTGACCTGGGGTCATCACACCTAATAATTAGAAACTTGTGCACTCATTGTGGTTTCTTGCATCTGATGTGCTATGTAATCAATGCATACTTCCTAGGTAGAAAGTTAAGTTTTATAAGGTTGCGGTATAGTGTGTTGGGCAATTAGGATACAACATGCTCAAAAGCTATATGTTGCAGAAATGGGGATGTTAAGATGGATGTGCGGCAAAGCACAAAAAGGTAGAAAGATGAACGAGTGTAGTTGTAAATTCATAGAAGTAGCACAAATAGGAGATAAATTAAGAGAGAATCAACTTAATTGATTTGAACATGCTTATAGAAGACCTAATAATGCACTATGAGAAAATAGTGATTTGATAAGGTAATGCAAGAGATAGAGGTTGCCGAAATTAACTTTGAATGAAATAATGAAAAAGGATATGATAGCGCACGACCTAGAAACCCATAAAGGAATAGGATTTATGTAGCTGATCTCAAATAGTTGGGATTAAGGTTTTGTTGAGTTGAGTATACATACATTTTGATTTCTCATCATGTCTCAATTTGAAACATCTTTCTTAAGTTTATTTACCCAAAGCATTTCAGAAGGTAAAATTACTTCCATTTGATCTAATGAATTTCTGTGATTGCAGAAGCCTTCACCGGTTGTCTTCTTTTTGTTGTTTTTGTGAATCTTTCACATTGGTTTAATCATTTCAAGGTTTTCGTGCCATGAAAGTTACTGGACATGCACACAATGCTTGTTTTTGTGTAAATTCTTAAATGCAAGTCTTTTCTTCTAATTTTTAATTTTATTGATACAGTGAAGGAAGAAGAAGGAAATGGGTTTTTCCCACTCTGACCCAGTGCCAGAGTTCTGAGGTAGTCTCCAACACACCTAATTATTGCCTTGTTAATATTACATGATTTTTCTTGGAGTCATACGATATGTATTTGAATGTGTATTATGCGAAGTCTATACTTAGGATTGGTGATGCAATCCATAAGATGTTCAAGGAAACACAAATTCGAAGATATGAAAGATAATAAAATTGACTTTCCATCAAGACAAAGATCCATATGGAACCTGACATTTTTATTTTAAGTCAATTTGCTAGTATTAATATTTTATATGTCCTTTTAATATTTTTAGTGTCGGTGGCATTTTTGTAATTTTTAGAATTTATGGAATAGGTTATTTTTTTGGGTCAAATTCTAGAATTGAATATGCTAGAATTTAAAGTTCTAATTCTAGTTAATTTTAGTTTTCTAATTTGTAGGGACCTAATGTCTTTGAAGTTCTAGAGGCTTTGGAATCCTAATCTTTTGGGATTAGGATTACTTAGAACTCTATATATAGTTAGTGTTAATAATAGATGAAAAGAGAGATATTCAGAATTTTGAGTAATTACATGTTTCTTGAGTTGTGTGATGCAATTCTAATCCTGGGTGTGATGCCTACGGAATCCTAGAAGTGATTCCTAATCAAAATTATTGTTTACGTTACTGTTCACAGTCCCTGAACAGTCCCTAACACAATCCCTATTTTTTATTTTACAAAGTTGTCCTACATCAATTGGTTTCATTCATCCATTGTTTTCCCAAAGATCTGAGAATACTGTACTAGCAGTTCTCGAGCTCCAGTTGGACATCGACATTCTTTTAAAGATGCCATAAATCGTGATAGCGCAAATGGTGGGAAGGGCCAGCCATGAACCTTTTAACTGGAAGCCTAGAATATACTACTTGAGAAGAGGGAGAAATAAAAATTTGTATGGATGAGATATTGTTCAAGCTAAAAAAGAAATAAAAACATGAACACAATGTACCTATAAAGAGGAGCGAATAGAAACAGGTAACTCCACCAGACAAGACTTGTCCCACCACCTACCATCTTTGGGCCGAGTCCTACTGATTAGTGACCATAGTCATCAAAATCGTACAATTTACGATTCGATTCGTACGTTTCGGTTCGATACAGGTACAAAACGATTTGTATATTATATGAGAATCGTTTTAAAGTTGAATCGCACCGGAATTGTACGATTTAATTTGTATCGCACGATTCTATCACTTTTTTTTTAAAACCCAAAATTTTAGCAAAATGACGTCGTTTTATTTGTAGAAGAACTCACGCCCTAATAAAAACTCAACCTCTTTGTTCATTCTCTCTCTGACGTCGTGTAAAGCTCGTCGTGCGATGTCTAAAGTTAAAGGCCATGGTTAACGTTCTCGCATCATCGGTTGACTTTTGTTCTTAATTCTTTTCTGGGTTGTTTGTTAGGTTCTAATTTTTTTTTTCAAAATGTTGGACTGTATGTTTTCTTTCGATCAATTTTCTTATTTGTTTTTTTTTCATTCATGTTTGTAACCTAATATATATTGGGTGTCACTATTTTGATTCTTGGATAGTCATGGTTCTTTAATGAATTTTTTTTTAAGTTGTTGAATTTGAAAATGGTTAAGTAAAAGATGAAAATAAAATAAAATGTTAGCGCCTTTTCATTTAGACGACGTGATTATGTCAATTGATTATTTTTAAAATACAATAATGTTCAATATTCAATATTTTGTCTATTTTAAATATGTAATATTATTTTTTATTTTTGTTTAAATTTTGTGTAGAATATTATGATTTACGATTCTCAAATTTAGGATTCTGATTCACTATACGAATCACGAGTTGACAACTATGGTAGTGACTCAGGACACCTTTTATAAATGAGGAATAAATTCTATCTTTAGTCATTTTTGTGGTGGCTTTTGGTGGTGAATCTTCTAGGGTAAGTTTTTTATGAAGTCAGACAAGACCTGTGTGTTTGTGTCCTTGTGGATGATAGGAGGTTAGAATTGGCTTAGTTTAAAAGTGAGAGGTTGATGTAACCTGCGAAAAGTATACAGGAATTTACTGAAGCAAATATTATCATTTTTGGTGATAATTTAGGGGTGAAAGAAAAGAGGTAGTTTGAGGTTGATTTGGAACAAACAAGCGAAACAAACAGAATTTTGGGGGCCTGTTATTAATGATTTGACACAGTATAAAGCTCTGAAAAGATTTGAAAGAAGGCGAGTGTGAATGAGAAGAATCTTTGTGACCTCTATTGGACTCTGGTCAGTACGTACAGTCACCAATCCAGTAAATCAACCGGGAATGCTCGTAACTCAGCCTCATTGCACGATAGAAAATCATATTCTAATATGAGACGAGAAGCTTATGCTTATGTAGATGCCCATACAAAAAACTAGGGGTGCAACTTGGGCGGGTCAATCTAAACCCAAACCCAACCCCAACCCCAACCCCAACCCCAACCCCAAACCCAAACCCAGCATGAAAAATTCAATACTTGGGCAGAGATATGTTGGACTTGGGCAAAAGAATTCCAACCTGATTTCAATTCGAGTAGTATTCAAGTTGGGGTATCGGGGTCCCATGACCCAACTTGAACCCCCCCAATAATTTGTGAGATTGGACTGAACCCAGATTCAAACTAGAAAGTAAGTAAAAAGACCAAATATTAGACTAAATGTATATAAATGCAACATCTTCCTTGCGCATCGGACTCTATTTCTCTTCACCACTGCACCACCCTCTTCTTACTTCTCAGACCTCTTCTCTTCAGTTTTTTGATTCAGTCTGTCATTCTCTTCTCTAAGTCATGGCGAATTTCAAGAATACTAGGTGCTTTTACTTTGGCTCTCTACGGTTCCTTTGGTCTACATATGTTCTGTGGTTCTTCACAGTTTTTGACACTAAATATTACTGTGCCTTAACGTTTCGCTTCTTCATTGAAGTCAATGCGGTTTAGTGAATGTCTGCACTGTTGGGTCTGCATAATCTTGATTGTTGGGTGGTATGTGCTATATTGTCTGTTTCTTTTACATCTGTATACTTGGCAGAGGTTTTAGTACAAATGTACAATTCATGTGACGTGATGAAAAGTGTTGAGTTTTTTGGCATATATTGCTGCAAATGTTGGCCAGTTGAAACTCTTGACTTCTTGCTTGTAACTCCTAGTTTGCAGTTATTACTTTTACTTTATGACAAACTAGTCCTATTGCCCTATTCACCTACAAAAATATTAGTAATGAATTTTTTTTGTTGTGGATCCTAATATTTAATAGAGAAATGAATTGTTATATCTCTTGCCCCTTAAGCCATTATTTATCATGTTATTGGCTAATGATTTTTTTTGTGCGGTTATTAAAGTTTGTTAATGCAATGAAACTTCTATTTTTGTATTCGACATTTTTAAATGCATGTTTTGCCTCTAAAGCTGTAATTTCTGTCATATCTATATAATAAAATACCTACCAATTTGAATTTTTATCCCCTACATATTTCCCCCCCCCAAAAAAAAAAAAAAAATATATCACGACACTAATTTTTATCACATGTTCAAACATTTAATATTTGATTAATTTGTAGTTTAATATAATTTTTATTTTAGACATTATCCATAAATGATAGTTTATACATGTTAAGAACATTTTGTCGAATTACTTAATTTGAGAAAATTTGTTGATACTTTAAAAAAAATAATGAGTAAAAATAAATTTTAAATGATGTAATCAAAAAAATGAGGGAAAAAATTGTAATTTAATATAGTGGGATTGATTTTTTGGGTGTTCAAATTTTATGTTCCATCGTACCTTTCGGCATAGGTTGTGATTAGAATATGTATAAGACAAAAAAATCCCTAGAATTCATGGTTGAACATGCCTATGAAAGAAATGAGTAATTCGTATACAATTTGCGCTCTGATTCGAAATACATGATCATTGTCCTTTTGATTAGTATTTACATATCTAATACATGACATTTTGAATGCAGGATATCAAACCATTAGATAGAGTGGATGGGATGATAATAAATGGTCTATCACCATATTGGTTTGATGTAGCACAAGGCAGTGCTGTGCAAAATACAGTTGATATGCGATCGCTGTTTCTGTTGACAGGGCCAAATGGGGGGGGTAAATCAAGCTTGCTTCGATCAATTTGTGCAGCTGCATTACTTGGAATATGTGGATTCATGGTGCCTGCTGAATCAGCCATGATTCCTCATTTTGACTCCATAATGCTACATATGAAATCGTATGATAGCCCTGCTGATGGGAAGAGTTCATTTCAGGTGCATTATGCATTCGTGATTGCACAAATTAATTGTTGATAGTTTTCTTGCTTCTTTCCATTGTGTGGAGTTTCTAAGTAGGAGTTTGAGTTACCTTTTCATTTTCGGTCGCATTTTTGGCACATTTTAATTATTGCAACTATCTTTACTGAATTCTGTGATTTTATTTCCCACTTTGTGAATATAATTTTTTATGACTAGCAAACTGAAATTTTTTGTACAAAGAAAAAAATGAAAACCGAAAAGCAAAGGAAAAGTGAAATGAAAGTTTAACCTTTATGCTATATGGAAGAAAACTATAATTTTTGTGTTTTTAGTTTTGTTCCTGCAATCTTCAAGTTGTATGTCTGTTGATGCCCTAATCCCCTTCTCTTTAGTCCATATACTTGTATCACATGGTTCGAATTTATGTCTAATAGATGTTTTCTTCAGAATGGCACAGAAAGCTATTATCTTTTCATTTCCCCTCACGGTGGGACTGCTTCTGTTATCCTCTTGCAGATTGCAAGCAGCAATTTGTGCATTATTTCAATGCTGAAAAATAATATTTTAGTGTTTTATCTTTCATTACTAAAATATTCTATGATACAAATGCAATTTTTTTTATCCAACTTTTGGTCATTATTGTCATTTCTTTGTACTTCTCTATTTTTTCTACTTTTAGGGGTTGTCTTTATATCTTTGGTGACTACTGGTAGTGTTTGAAGCCACCCTCCTGTCTAATTGCATTTATACATCACGAACAGATTTTGCTTTTCGTTCCGTTGCATGTCACAACTTTAAATATCCTCATGTCCTGAATGTTACTCTGCTCAACCTTGTCTCTTTGGATGTATTTTACCAGTCTCCTCTGCGTTCCTTTTTCCTTTCTTTCGTTCTTTTCTCCTTCTCTTGTAGGTCTGAGAATTATTTATTTGTTTGTTTGATTTTTCTTCTAAATTGAGAAAAGCTTCATAAACAAGCAGAACCACACTATCTTCCTGTTCATTATCTCCTGATAAGGTATTGTCTTGTCATTCAGTGACCCCACCTGCTTCCCAGAGTATTTGCCTTATTTCAACTTGATGGAACTCGTCTGATTTCAAATTCACATCCCTGTTTTGCTGGCCAAATTCACTTTAGTCATTTTTTGTTGAGCTCTGCATGATGTTACATCATACCTAATAAATAAATCATTAATCACTTGTCCTATGTTTGTAGCTAATTATTGTAGTTGGAATAGTTTTTGTTATAAGTGTGTGAAGAGAAAGTAGTTGCTGACTATATCATCATGAATCATTAATTACTTGTTTTTCCTTTTGGTTAGACAGGGGCATTCTGTTTGCCAGCCTACTAGATTTTTAAAAATGATGTTCCAACAAATTAGACATCAGACACGTGGCTGCATTCAGTGCCTAAACCTAGGTCTATTTAATTTAGTTGTCTATCCTGCTTATTACACGAGGACTCTGGCAGCCTGATCCATTGATATTTAGCACAGCCCGTCTCGAAGCATTTGTTGTTGTACATTACAGCGGTGGATTTTGGAAAGTTAAAATGAAAAGTTCTAGGATTTTGGACAACATTTAGAGTGGAAGAAGAGGAGTATAAGTAGTCCTAATCTAAAAATAACACACAACATATTTGCATGTTACTTTTGCCAACACATGGATCACTAAATCCTCCCCCCAAAAAAAGACAACAGAAAAAAGAAGGAAAATTACTTGAAGATAATGACCTAATGAGTAGTAGTAATCTTTTGTTTTCCGTTATATTGCCTCAGATAGAAATGTCAGAGATCCGTTCCATTATAACTGGGGCAACTTCACAGAGCCTTGTGCTTGTAGATGAAATATGCCGAGGAACAGAAACAGCAAAGGGGACATGTATTGCCGGTAGTATTGTAGAAACTCTGGATGCGATTGGTTGTTTGGGTATTGTATCTACCCACCTGCATGGAATTTTTGATTTACCTCTGGCTACAAAGAACACTGCATATAAAGCAATGGGAACAGAATACGCTGATGGTCAAACAAAACCAACTTGGAAGTTGATAGATGGGATCTGCAGAGAGAGCCTTGCATTTGAAACTGCTCTGAGGGAAGGGGTTCCTGAAAGAATAATCCAAAGGGCCGAAGTACTCTATCTTTCAGTTTATAAAAAGGATTCATTTTTGAATTTCACTTCTGATTCGTATGTCAGCAGTTCTGATGAAGCCTATGGTCAACTGAGTATTATCAGAAAAAGAGCTATCCATTCTAGAATTGAATCGTTGAACCAAATGGAGACTTTACGGACAGAAGTACAAAATGCAATCACTACAATCTGTCAGAAAAAACTGCTTGAGCTCTATGGGAAAAAACACACATCAGAACTCAGAGAGATAAATTGTGTTCTGATTGCTGCAAGGGAACTGCCACCTCCATCAACAATAGGTGCTTCAAGCGTCTATGTGATGCTTCGACCTGATAGAAAAATTTATGTAGGAGAGGTTCGTATCTTTAACTATATATTTCCATGGTTATGTTATTTTCAAATAGTCCCCTATGTGCGTCAATAAATTCAATCTTAGAGAGTTGATGTATTGAGGCTTGATACATCTCCATTAAAATAAATGTCAAATAGCAGCTAATTTGTACTTATGTTCTAAACTCGATTTATGCAATAACTGCTGTGCAGACTGATGATCTTGAGGGTCGGGTCTGTGTTCATCGCTCAAAGGAGGGAATGCAAAATGCATTATTCCTCTATTTCTTAGTCTCTGGGAAGAGCATGGCTTGCCAACTGGAAACTTATCTCATCAACCAGCTTCCAACTCGAGGTTTTCAACTCACTAATGTAGCTGATGGTAAGCATCGGAATTTTGGCACAAGTAATCTCTCCTTAGAAAGCGTAACATCGCATAGATGAATCAGCCATACCTCCATCCAGCATGATGTAAATAATGCCAAGGTAATCGATCGGAGAAGTGATGCAATTTTTTTGTAAGTTATCTTGTATTATAAGATGATAGAATGAGGTGCAACAGTAAAATATTCAGTGGCTGCAACAATTTTGGGTAGGAGAGTTGCTCCACTTAATGAGCCTCCCTTGTCATCCTGTCAAACCAAAGGGTGAAATTGTTGTTGATTAATGTATCTTATTGTATAATTTTGATGGGTGTCTATGACTAATTTTCGTGGTTCGTTTCATTTCAGACTAGTTTTAAAGCCTCTCTCTCTCTCTATCTCACACACACACACACACACTGTGGACTCTCCTAGATGTGCTTGAAGTACAGAACTGCTGCCAAGAAGATAGTTGATTCTGTCTAGGTGGCAACTTTTGAACTATGCCCAAGTTTCAGATATGAGGCTGCAATCTATATCCTAGACTCATAGTGTTTTTCCGTGGATTCATTGTGTTTTTGTTCTTTGTACTTAAGGACGATAATCTCTGTCTCCACTACTTATCACTACGTCAATTGGTATAAGAGATTTGAATGACTTGATATCATCATTTGCCCTTATTTCTTTTGGTTTCCAAACTAGCTTTAATCGCATGTCTCTTTACTTCTTGCCTTTGAAATCCATCATTCTAATATTGATAAAATCTATGTTTTCTTGATTAGATTCAAAATTTTAAGGGTTTGTTTGGATGAATTTTGGAAAGAGGTTTGGATTGACTTTTTCAAATCTTTTCAAAACTAAATTTCTCTTTACAAAGGTGAAATTTAATATTCAATTCGGTCTATACTTATGTTTGGTATGTAATATACACACAAATAGGACTCATGAATATATCATAATCATTAATAATTATTTGTCATGTAAATAATTATTTTATCATTGATTAATTCAATTTATACATATGTTAAAGGGTACAACTGTCTTTTGAATTTTTAATCCTTTACCATGTTTTCAAATCCACCCCTCTTTTATATTTGACAAAACTCATGATTATGAGTTTAATCTTTCGTACGGTTAGGAGTCAAGTTTGAAAACACAAAACTAAAATTTTTCTTAAAACCCATTTTTGTCAAACTCCCCTGTATTCCCTTTACCAAACAACTCCTGTATCCTTTGGTTTGGGATCTTGTCATCATTTTAAACTCCTTTTCCATCAATACTCGTCCAATTTCTTTGACACCCTCTCTAATTCAGTTTCTTGATTCCTTTTGAACTCTTCCGCATGATTGAGTTTGACTAAAAGGCATCTAGCCTTAGACCTAAAATCCTTCAACTCCTCTTTAGGCAGCCGATCATCACTTCCATCCGTACCCCTTGTCCATGCAGGATTTTGAATTTACATCCATAAAACAGTAATCCTATCTTTGGAGTACACACTATGGACTAGCAAACAACATTGATTTTGTTGTGCGATTGATTGCAGAGGTTGAAGAGAATGAAGGATCGGATGAGAGAGATGATGAGGACAATGGTGTGATCCAAGTCATTCGTGAAAGAGAGGACTGTCTCTGAAGATCATAACAACAATCACAACAGTACTCCCAAGGCATCAACTTGCACCATCATAGTTTCTTTCATTTCAGGCATCAATCATAAAAGAAACATATATGCATCACTTACACTAATCAAGACAATGCTAACTGTCCAGACCTCAAAAACAAGACTGCAATGAATTCATTCACTCAAATTGCCATATAACGAATGCTACAAAGCCTATAGAATATTGTTCACAACAAATACTGCATGAAGAGGAAAATCATACTAATAGAAAGACTAGTCAAAAACCAACAATAATCTCTCGGTATTATAATAATAATAAGCAGGAGATTTTTTGGTACCATACCATTTACAAGTTTTGTGATTTTTTTTACATTATCTACACATACGTCAATACACATTATGGCTGAGAAACATGCAATGAAGAAAATTGATGCCTTGGAGTTTTGTTACGGGTTAATCCTCTTCATCATCAACAAATACGAGTTGATCCCACCATTGTCTCATCTCTTATCCCATCCTTCATCCTCCTCAACATCAACAAACAGCCTCCCAAGAAAATCAACGGCCTTTTTGAATCAGAAACAATGTCATACATAGCACTCTCAACGTCGATCCTATGTTTCATTCCAAGAACCAAGAAATCAAACTTGGCATGAGGATGAGGTCTCTCCCTCTATCAATAGAATCGATAACAATCTCACTAGAATAGGGAGGCCGGAAAAACATTCTTGGTGCCGGAATCCATGTTGGGTTGGTGTTGGTCACCTGGAAGGCCGATGAGATCCGGTCAAACAGTGACAGGCGAGTAACAAGCAGAAGAGGCGATGTAGTGATGATGCCCACCTTCCCCGGAGATTGTGGCGTCTCCAGAACAATGATCATGGGATTCTCCGGCGATCAAGGGTTGAAGAGAGGAATGAGTGAAAAGAAAAAACCAGAGAAAACTGTGTGTTTGGAGCTCTAGTTACTACTTACTCGTTACAGACGAGTCGATTGGGTCAGAGAGACAGCAACGAAGAACAGGCGTGGATGTGGGTGGAAGATTGCTGAAGCTGCGGAGGCGGTGGTGGTCACGTTGATATATTGGTGGCGGACAAGGAAGGGTGGTTGACGCGTGGGTTTCTTGAAATTTGGTTCTTGGAGATATGCTGTGGGTGATCGACGGTGAGGAGGCGACGTTCTGGTTCTTGATCACTCATCTTTCCCCTATGTCTCTCTCTCTCCCTCGAACGATGAAGAAAGGACTGGTGGTTCTGTGCCGGTGGTGCGGTGGAGGTGGGTTCTTGGAAAGACGTTGATGAGTTGGATTGTCTCTTCATGGAACCATGGTGTAAGGGGAGAAGACAGAGGGGTGAAGCATTGGTCATCTTCTCTCTCTCTCCCCTACTTCCACAATAATCCCATAAGGACATGCTCATGTATTAATCCATTTGTACTAGTAGACAGTAATTGATGTGGGTGAAGAAATTCAAAACCTAAGAACAAACCCTAATATCAAAATCACAAATAATCAATTTAGTAAAATTAAAATATCGTAATCAACATACCTTAAACTACTTCATCCTTGATCCAAGACTCTTTTTGATGTAGCTTTAAAAATCAAATTTTTTCTTCTAACCTTTAATCTTATGATGCATGAATTGACGGGGATTGTGTATATTTATAGATAGAGAGGGAGTTTCCTTGTTTAACTATAATTTCACTACCAAACAAGTAGTAGTCTAAGAAACTACTTCTCTTAATTGACAAATTATAAGTCATTAGTTAACCCGATTAGATTAGGATTGATAACTTTATTATTATCTAATCAAAACAAAACTATCTGAGAAATAATAATTGGGTAAATCTAATGTGCCACATCACATATACATTAAATCTTACAAAAGTTACACTCGAAAAGAAAAAAGAAATTATTATTTTAAAATATTCACATAACAATTTATAATATAAAATATGACAGACTTCAATAAGTCTGTCAGATGGTGTCAAATAGATTTAGTCAACGACCACTAACATCTCTTTTAAAATTATTCACATTGAATTCTTCCCTCTAAAATAAAAAATATATTATTTCTTACTTACATTGCACTGTGTTTTCAAACACGAGTTACTCATAGTTTTATTATAACTATTGATTTATCACCAAATTTCATTGTTTAATGAGATCCACTGTAAATTCGAATATAATTTTCAAGTGTTTTTTGTGCATAATTTTGGATTGAGTTATTATGACGGATCCTAAAATTTTGGAATCAATTCTAAGCACCTTAAAAGAGTTATAACTCGATCCTTAAAAAAGGTGTAACTTAATCCCATAAAAGTGATAATATGTCTCTAAATAGTTGCAAATTTTATATCATCTATCCTAACTCTTTTTTTAGTTACAATTAGCCTATTAAAACTTGTATCTTAATTACAAAACTTGTAAACTTCGGTGGTGTACCTACTTCGCTGCCGAATTGAAATACCCCTTGAAAGGTCTAAGGGTCAATAAAAGATTGATTCCATGCAAGTTGGACATGGCCAATACTCAACGTAACCATTCAAGATGGACTTTTTTCATGAGTTCTCCTTCGTTGACATTCTTTGAATCAACTTGCAAGATGAACAATACGCAGATACATTTTATGCCTTTAAATAAACAGAATATATTCTTGCATGGAAAGATAAGTTATACAGCAGAGTGAAGAAATAGGCTGATGAGAGATAAAAAGTTATGAGTCGATTCGAATTTGATCAATATTCTTTATTAGCTATAAATTGAAACTCTGAAACCAAAGATTTTGCATCAAATTGAAGCATGAATTTGAGGAAGAGAGGTCTTACATGAAGAGAAGAGTATTGTTTACTAGCCAAGAATGATTTGCCTGCTTTCCTATGGAGGGGGTCTTAGCTTTACATTATGTCTAGAACCCTTCTTTGGTTGCCAGGCAATCTTCTTGGCTAGGTTGACATGCTCTTCTCTCTCATGCTAGTCCTTCTTTTCTTACCCCTATGCACTTATTTAGTTATAAGTTTGAAGTCCACTTTAGTTTTGGTTTTCCATATCCCCTAAGGTGCTATTCTTGCTCTTCAGGAGATATGTTTTAAATCTGGTCAGATTATAATAGTCAGTATTCAAATTTCAGGGAGTAGTCAGCGCAAACGTGGACATCCTGTAACAAAAAAAAAAAGAGATGGACAAGGAGATGAAGGATATTTTTGAAGATGAACCCGACTGGAACAACATACATGGGTACTTGGACCTGTAGCTTCGATGTTTTTATAAGTGATTTTTGCGATAATGTTTTGGTATTATATTGAAAGATATAGCCAAATCATACTAAGTTATAACTCCAATAGACCAATTTATTATGAATAAAAAAATTCATTTAAGAATCAAGATCATAAATCTAGGATCAATCATAATTTGCTAGAATCGAACTCAAATTCTTGGCAACCTCATCTCTGTTGGCCGAAGCTGAGGCAGTGAGGCAGGCTTGCCTTCTTGCTGAAGCCCAATTGATCACTCATGCTATTATTCTGAATGACTGTCTCAATGTTATTAAGCTCACTCATGAATGACTCACCATGTTCATCCTATATTCCACCAAAGCCACCCGATTTACAACCTGTTAATCTGCCATTAACACAGCCTTCATATGCTTCTCTCTTCAAGCAAACATCCAAACCAGTGTTAGTGGAAGAACCAGTGCCCAAGATTGAGAAACCTATTGTATTTTATGAGGGGGAGCTTGCTTTTTACTTCACTAATGAGGAGATCAAACAATCTTGCTTATCTCTGCAATATGCATTAATATGCAAGTGTGCCTATGGTAGACCAAGTATAGGCGTGATTAGAGAGGTGAATTTGAAATTGGTTCAATAGATCCAAGGCACGTGTTGATACGTTTTGAAAAATAGGAGGATTATGTGAAAACGTAGTTGAAAGATGCTATTATCATAGAGGATTATTTATTCAGATTCTTTAAATGGTTTCCTGCTTTCGTATCAGGGATTGAGCCATCCATTGTGCCTATGTGGATATCATTACCTGGATTACCTCTTAATTTTTTCAAGAAACGGTTTTTGGATTTGCTGGTAAAACCCATTGGCAAAGTTTTGGCAAATGACCAAGCAACACTCTTGTTGTCCAGGCCGGGGATAGCAAGGGTATGTGTGAAGGTCAATCTACTTGCAAATAATCCAAATAGAATTTGGATTGATATGGGAGTTGAGGATGCAGCGGATAGTATATGAAAGGAACAAGAAATTCTGTAAAAGTTGTAGGAAATAGGGCCATGAGGAACTTGAATGCAAGAGGAAGAAACCAATGGAGCAATTGATGGTCTTAGAAGGAAAGAATATAGTCACAGAATTAGCAGAAGGTGAAAAGGAAACTAAGGACAAGAGTAATGGAAAGAATTCTGTAGAGGCAAGTGCAGAGCAGATTAAGAGGAAGGAAATAATGCAAAATTCAAATTTTGGGAAAATAAATAAGGAAACAACATATCAAGGAAAATCTCAGCCGCAGTTAAAACACTCAAAGCCAGAATAGCAGTGGAAAGGGAAGAAGCAACAACAGCCTAAGCAAGTCAATAACCCAATAAAGGAAACAACAGTCACTTTTGGCAAGGAAATATCTTCGGTAATTATAGAAGGTGACATGGAGAAAGAGAAATCTTTTACAAGATTGGAAAAGGGTGATCATTCGGGTAAAGACAAAATAGTGCAGCATGGAAAGTATATTCTTCCAAAGGAAAGTGTGTAGCTGATAGATTCTGAGAATCCTACGGCATGTGATACACCCTCTAATCAGAACAATGTAGCCAATCCTTTTGATCAAAACAATGATGTCAGTCCTCCTGATCAGAACAATGAAACCAATCCTCAGGCCAAAGATTCAGAGAATCCACCATTGTCTAAGTCAGCTTCAATACTAGAAAAAGCGGATCATGAACAAAATCTTATGAACACCAACCAACACTCAGAAATCCAAGAACCGCAGATTGTAAATGAAATCAATCCCACTAATCAAGAATTAACGAAAAATCAGGTTACATCAGGCTATGATTCTGCTGCATATAAGTTGGTTAGTTTAAATGTGAGGAGGATGAAAATGAATTTTCTATTTCTTCTGAAAATGTCTCAGACAATGGAATAGACGAATGCTCTTCCTTGTTGGATTATGTTCACTATAAGCAAGATTTTGAATACTTAATAGTGGAGGCCGGAGAGAAATCAAATTCCATTACTCCGGAAATGATGGCAGCAGTCCATAAAAATATTCATAGTCAAGGAGAGATAATTCCAAGCATGTCAGGGGAGGAGATTCAAAAAGCCTTTAAGCTAAAAGGAGGTTATTCAAAGGATGACTACGTTAAGAAGTCTTCTCTTCATGAGCAATCAAAGAGTTTTTACTTTGATGGGGAGGAGGCACCAGTAGTTCAAGAAAATAATTTCAATTCTTTTATGACATCTTCTAAAAGGTTACTATCAATATGCAATAAGGTTGAGATGAAGAAGAAGAGAAAAGAGGAGGAGTTGTCTGCTTTGACTTTGACACTTGATAAAGTCAAACTTATAATTATGACAAGATCAAGAATATTCAAGTTGCCAAAGCCAAAGAAATCCTATGGATTTAAATATTATTAATTTTTTATGGATTGGTTCTACTTCATGAGGTCACTTGCAGTCACTACTATTCCAGCATTCTGTCTTTCAGCTGGGTTATTCGAAGCAAGGAGTAGATTAATGTTCAGCTGTCTAGTACTGTTTACGATACTGTTCATCTAACTTTCTGCTAGACTGTCAGCTAGCTCATATTCTCTAGACTCTTCGTTCACTGTAAAATGCAACGTTTGAAGTCAATGTTAAGATTTTATTTTGTATTTAAAGTTCTTTTATTATGTAAGGGGAAAAGTTTATATCCTCTCCTCTCTTTATAATTTTGTTATTAATAAAATTTTCCCTAAATGAGTTTAACTTAAAAAAAAATGTTATTAAGCTCAGCTACATCGAAGATTTGCCTCCATGGGAAATTAGAGTAATCATTGAGGATATTAGATTTTATGTTAAGTTTTACAACCTAAACTTTTTACACAAGCCAAGGGCATGTAACAAAGTTGCTCATTAGGTGGTTGCCAATATGTTAAATAACTCCTTTCCGGCGAGTTGGTAAGGGTCCCCCTCCTCAACTTTTCTTTTGAATGATTGAAACCAAAACTTCCCTACTTAGTGATATGATTATCTTGTGTGTTTTGATTAAAAAAAAAAAACCTCAAATTCTTGGACCTTGTAGAATTTTATGGTGAAACAACCAATTCTTTTGTTGGGTAAATCAAATCTAAGGTACATAGCATTGTTAATATCACATTTCATAGAAGATCCAGACACTAGTGAAAAACAAATACATTCAATGCACTATCGAATAAACCAGAGGCGAACAATAAGCTGAATGAACTTATACTAAATTAAGTTTCATAATATTAAAAAACGACTTACATACCTCAACAATAATTAAAAAAACCCAGTCAAAATTCAATTAAAAATTAGACAGTTAGAGACCTCATGATCTCATCAGCGAGAGCTCCTTTGCTCCGACCCTTTTTTTCACAGCAAAAAAAAAAAAAATGCCCATAAGCTTAGGATACATATTATTGTAGAAGTGTTTGGTTGATCTTTAAATATGATAATTAAAAAATAAATATTTATATAGAAAAATTTGAAAAAAAACAAAAGTTTAAAAACTAATTAAATTTCAAAAAAAAAAAATTTCTTAATATATTTGTCATTAGTAACAAATACAAATTAACGAAGAAATTTAGGTGAAAATTAGAAAAATGAACATGAATAAATCTTATAAAATTAAAAAGATTAGGTGGATTAGTCATATGTCTAATTGAAAAGATATGTATACAGCTGGAGTGTAAAACTTGACTATAAAAAATAGAAAAAATATATTATATTCGGATAAAATGATGTGCAAAAAACTAAAAGTCGTGTGTTTTTTAGGGTTAATTACAAAATGTCCCCTTTAAATTTGGGTAATGTTACAATTAACTCTCTCTAATTTTAATTTGAAAAATTTTCAATTAACTCCTGCCGTTGATTTTCAGCCATTAAAAGTGACGGAAGTTAGTCGCATGAGATTCTAGTGATTCCAATTTGCTGAAATGACAAAAATAACCCAAGATATTTTTTTTTTGCCTACATTCTAAAATTTTGATTTTTAAAGTCCCCCATCCCTTTTTAGAAGTTTATTTTTCCCTAAGCATAAAAAAACTCATAACCCTCATCCTAACTTGACTGCCACCCCAACCAATGGCAACACCTAACGGTCCTCTCCCTTTGAGTGTGAACCAATCAGAGTTGAAGGGATGAGATAAATTTGATATGGAGACATGAAAAGAGAAACAGAGGCAATGCAAATCACTAGTTTACGACTACAAAATTCTACACAAACCTTTTTTCTACAAAATTTCTTTTGTAACTGCACCATAGCTGAACCAACACCCCCCTTTCTTTTATTCCTTACCACCTCAAATTTGTCGCCACCACACCTAGTTTTCAACTGGTTTCAGCCATAGGGAACAACAATTTCTATTGAAGTTAGGTGGATTTTTTTGTTAAAAAGAGAAAAGGAAAAAGGTCCGGCGTGGAGATAAGGCAAAAACTCATCTCGGAGGGGGTGGGGAGAGTTATACACAAGGAAAAAAAATCCTAATCAAGGGCAATTTTGGGTCTTTTAATGAATTTGAGATCACGTGACTAATTTTTGTTAGTTGTGACTGTGGAAATTAACGGCAGCAGTTAATTGAAAGCTTTTCAAACTTTGAGGGGTAATTTGTTCAAATTAAAACTAGAGAGAGTTAATTGCAACATGACCCAAATTTAAAGGGACAATTTTGTAATTAACCTTTTTTTTTAATTCTAATTCCTTTTAGCTGGTCAATTGCCCCTGTTTTCCTCTGCCTGTCCAACCGGCCCTAACATGTTCTATTCTAATGTCTCTCTCTCCCTCTTTCTCTACGTAGGTAACTAGTAATTTACCTTACCCTTCAGTCCCTTTGCAGCTTTCCATTCTCATTTCTGTGTTATTTGGGTATCCAAAATAACCTAATGGACAAGGTAGTTGAGGAAGTTAAGGAGGCAAAAAAAGAATGGGAAGAAACATACCACAAAACCCAGGAACACATAAAATCAATCTCAGAGTATGGCAAATCTGGACTAAGATCTAACATAGAGGAAAAGAATTCACTGCCAAGATTGAATAGCCTGGCTCAAGATGACTTGAATTTGCTCACATCATTGCAGTTCAAGCTCGATCTGTTGGCCCCACAATTACCCACAATTGATGAATCTGAAAAGGCTGAGTCTTTGCTCCAATGTTGGATAACCCAAATCCAAAGGTACCCTCAAATAGTCCAATTCTCTATGTATATGCACATCTTCATGTGGGTGGCTCTTTGTTTCAGCACTGGTTATTCATTTGTTGACAAAACTAATTTAAGTTTGGTTGCCTAGAAAATGTTGGAATATTATTAGGATGTAAAAAATTTGTGCCTTTGTGTGTTCACCAAAACTTTTTTGTCTTCAGAAGTATTTGTTTGCTAGGAAAATGGTGAGAAAGAGGTGAATATGAATCTGATTGCTCAGTCAAGGAATTGAAACCATGACTCAGGAATTTGACTGGGTTTAGCCGAGTGTAATTGCCACTGATAATCCACACACCTTGTAAACTTTGGAGAAGAGGGTATACATTTTTTTTATTTTGGATCATTGATGCTTCAAATTTAGAAATGTGGGATATCAACTCAATAGGATATACTATAACAATGTACTTGAAATTAGTTGTGGAGTTTTTAATATTCTTTCCACGTAATCAATAACACATAACAGATCATGTAAGCCACAGTTGACGAGATCTTTGTAAGTTGTTCAGTTTCCTACTATTTTGAGTAGCCAAAATCCAGGCAGAGTTGTAAACATTCACCATATAGATTTATGTATACAATGGTAACATTGTTTTTGTTCCCTTGGTTATTTAGTTTGCGATCGAGTCTGAGAAAAGCTAATTTGCAAGCAATGGCAAACATGAGAAAAGCAGCTCAAGAAGAGGTAATGTCCTTTCATTGCTTAATTGCTTGTTATGAAATGTTAAAGCATATTTTGAGTATTGATACCCTGTTTGATATGCATAAAGTGGCCCAGTTATATAGCAGTTACTATACTGATATTTCAAACATATTTTCCATTTTATCTGAGGCGATCTGTTATCAAGAAAGGTTTAAAATGCAATTTGATATTGTCAACTATAGAGGGAGCTTCTTTTGGGAGGTGGAGAAGAGTCCACAATTCGCAGGCGCAATTTACAGTATGTTTTAGGTTCTCTTACTTTCAGTGGAATAGTTCTCATACATGTCATATTTGTTTTTAAAACTTTTTGTGTACAATTGTGTTATCTATGTGATGGAAGAAATAAATGACCAAAAGATGTGTTATAAAGAATGCATGACGCAAAAGTTTTTATCAGGACAAAAGCTGGAATGACATCTGCAGCAGAAAGCATCACAGAGAGCCTTCGCCACACTCGTCAACTGATGGTCCAGGTTATTAGCTGCATTTTTATTGTATTTTTACTTCTTGCAACTTTACTGATGTCATATTAGGGTTTTTATTGAGACTACTCCGTGTTGTTATGCATAATCACAGGAGGTTGAAAGAAGTGCAAGCACACTCATGACTTTTGGTAGGTTCTTCTAATGACTACTTATGTTTACGGATTTTACTGAAAAGGATCCAGGGCACATGGTCGTGATGCCACTGCTACACTTTTATTATGCTTTTTCGTTCTTAAGGTTTAACTTACTAATCTTGTCGTGCCAACATACGACTCTGAAAAAAAAAATTGGTGCTCTAGTTGAAAAGAAAAACATAGATGATATTAACTGCGCAGGAATTGGAAATCATATTCTGACTCCTTAGCGTGGGTTCAAAATGATCCTCTGAAGTATTCTTTGGCTTATTTCAAGACTTAGGTTCCCAGCTGTTCAAGTCTTGTGTCTGTATCTTCTTTTTTACATGACTTTGCAGCATAGATTTTTTATATTTTTGCCCGGTCTTCAACCTACACTTATTCTCTCTCTCTCTACAATAAGCCTCTCTCAGACACAAAGCCACCACTTGCGCCACCTCCTCTCCCCTGTCTTCCTTCATCACTGCCTTTTTTTTCCTTGACAACTCATTAACCATCACCATCATTTTTTCCTACCCTCAGTTCTTTTAACCCCAAATCGATTACACCAACTACCACCACAAAACTCTATCTAAAACCACCATCACTAACACCACCTCCACCACCCATATCTCTCTACAACCAAACCTCACTATTGGCCACCGCCACCAACACCACCACCTCTTATTTCATAATCTCTCTCTCTCTCTCTCTCTCTCTCGACTGGGTCTACTTTCACCATCTTGTCACCACCACCCTCGCCATCTCTTAGTCAAGCCAGCACTTCATCACCAGAATGATTGTTTTTTAAATTTTGACCTCAAATTGTTATTCCATTTTTTTCACCTTATTATTATATTAGAATTGAATGCTTAATTTTTATAATTTATAGATTACTAATTGGAATGTAATTATTCCTTTCTCTAAGTTTCTAGACAAATTTGTTGGGAAAGGGGGATAACAATTAAGGGAGAAATTTACTGCCACTTTTATGTTGATTAGAGACAATGAAGAGTGGCTGAACAGGTGTTGGTGATTAAGTGGTCAGGTGCTTATGCATATTGGTATGTATGTAGTTTATTGATGAACTTGTCCATGGATGCGGTAGTGGTGGATTCGGTGAAATTGGTCACAGTTGTGATGTGTTTGTTTATGTGTTCACAAGCATGTATTTGAAAATGGTTCGTAAAAATATGTATATATACATGCATGAATGTGGTCTCTTTTTGGGGTTGGTCATGATGTTGAGGTGGTGGCGACTTTGTGTTGTTTTTAGTAATGTCTGGTGAACTCGCGAGTTTTTTTTTTTTTTTTGTTATTTTTTTGGGGGGTTGTGTGTTATTGTCTATGGGTAGACATAGAGTGAAATGGTGCTGGTAATGGCTTTGTTTAGGAAGTAGAATAATTAGAAAATATGAGGGTATGATAGTCCTTATTCTCCCCTCCTAAATTATTTAGAGTGGCATTGCAAGAACCATATATCATTCCAAAAATATGATAGAATTTGTTGAGGAAGTCATCAATTTAGGGGGATGGATAACTGGTCAACTGTTTGTTTTTTCTGATCCTCTCCTGTTTGCACATGTCTCACATTGCTTTTGAAGAGCACGGCTTCACTGTCACATATATGAATACAAAGGATGCTTATGTTTGTGAAAGAAACAACATTTCTATAAAACCTCAGGAAGTTAGGACAGAATTTGAATGATATAGCTGAGAAAAATTTCCATGCCACCTTTATTTCTTTAATCTCCCTTGTAGGAGATCTGTATAAGGACCTTAGCCCTGTTAGTTTGGTTTAGATCATGAATAAGAGCCCTAGAAATTTTGCTTGGAGGTTCAACGTTGTAAATCAGTTTTTTCCCTGTGTTTTTTTTTGGTGTTAGGGGAGAGAGAAGGGGGGGGGGGGGGAACATTCTCAAGTTGCTCTTTGTTGGGTCATAAACCTTTTTCTACGTCAGTATTATTGCTGGTGAATGCATATGCTAAAAACTAAGAAATGATTTGTGAGCTTCGTATTGAAATAAGCATATGAATTGGGGTCTTGTCATGTATTCTATGGTGAGGAGGATTTTGGAAGTAAATGGTAGAATTGTTTTTTGGGTGTTGGAAGTAAATAGATCACGTTTTTTATTTAAAAGCAGGGTTGTTGACCCCCTTTTTTTTTAACAAAAGCGGATTTGTTGACTCCACTTTTAAAAAATACCGTAGTTTGGTAAATAAGTTCAAAGTGACGTAAATCGGTAATAAAGTTTTAGAATGACGGTGGACTGATAAATAACTCAACGAGCTTGAATGCCTGTCTAAGCTTCATGCAGGTGGGGATCAACTGGAAATCAGATTTGTTGAGATTGAGCAATCACTCACTTAGGTTGAGCTGCATACACTATGTCCTTTCAACTTTGAACAGCATCGAAGTCATACCCTGAGAATGGCCCCAGTATCTATCATGATGACCATACAGTTCACAAAGTTACTATATCGTGGTGACCTGAATCTCCTGATCAATTGCATTTTTTGTTCATAGATTAGACGTTAATGTTTCAGTATGATTTGTTATATGCTTCAGTCTCTCTTGATTTAGATGAGTATATGACCCGTTTTGAATTGATGCCAGCAATTCTGACTCTGTTGAATGTGGAGGCAGTCCATACTTCACTTGAAGAACGATTGCTTTAATAGGATTCTTGGTATCATTTTATGCATTTACTCGACTATATAGTGAATGTTTCTGGTTGCCCATAAACATTATATTGCAGAGGAATCAACAGGAGTATTACGGAAGGCTGAAGATGAATACAAGGGCCACCGCTCATTGCTGATGCGGACTCGAAACCTACTCTCCACAATGCAGCGTCAGGATGTCCTTGACAGGTAACACAGGAGAAACAATTGGTTTTGTAGAGATCTCATAATCTATCCTTGCAAGTCTTACGCTGTTTTATCTTTGCAGGGTGATACTTTTCACTGGGTTTCTCTTGTTCTCCTTGGCTGTTCTTTATGTTGTCACAAAGCGAATGGGGCTACTTAAGTTGCAGAGAAAGGTCATGGCTACACTAAAGGCTGGTATGGCTGGACAAGTGGAGATTGGACCTAAAGCAGGTGGAAACGGCATAAAGGTTGCTCACGTCCATGAGAATGCAGTTCCAAAGTTGGATGTGCCAATAGAACAACCCATGCATGATGAACTTTGAGGTTTCTTTACTTCTTCTTTTACTTGGTCTATATACTTATGGCCCAAACTCCTAAAATTTTCATTTGCTCTGTTTCACATCAATGTTCAGGGAAAAAAAAGTCACTGTCCTTTCCTGTCTTTCATCTCCTCCTACACTTTTGTACAATACGAAAACTGGAGAACATTCATGTTTAACAGACATTCCTACTTCGATGTCGCATTCGCAAATGCAATATATGTTTTTCATATGGAATTTCATTCTCGGCGCACTGATTATGATATTCCATCCTCTACAATATTGTGATCATTAGTATTTGTCACCTCTTTCTGGTTGGGACACTAGTTTAACCAAATATATATTTCTGACTTTAAGCAACCTTAACTTTGTACCTAATATCGCATTTGAAAATGTTATATATGATTTCATGGATCTTGGTTTGTTGCCTTTGAAGTTAGTTGCCAAACGCTTTCAGTGGATTTTCGGAGTGAAGATTCAAGGGAGGATGCTTCTAGTCATGGAATTAGTTAAGGTATAAGAATTCGAACTTGTAATCTAAGTTTGAAACTAGTGGATTAGTTTAGATGAGCCAAGATTGATTCCATGTTTTTTACCGCGAGGGTTTCCATGTAAAAATTACTCGTGTTGTGTGATTGCTTGTCATTATATACCTTCAATTTTTATTCTTTCTTTATGAATGTTTGGATGAATGGTTGATTCCCCTAAGTAATTGATTGGACGACTCAAATTTCATAAATCTTAGAATTGATGGGGTTATTAAATTGGTGAATTGTGTTAATCGGATTTTCATAAAACTAACATACACATTCGCTCTATAGGTCAAAGGTCTAGACCTTATAGGGGTTTATTTGGACATAATTCTGTGTTAGAGTGCATAAGATCTATTCACCCCCGAATCAAATTTATGTATTTCTAATGTGAGGAAAAAGTGGAAAATCATCAATTGTAAGTAGAAAGCCAACTTTGTGAGTGTTGAATATCGAGTCATTTACAGGTGAAACAAGCAACTGAGCATATATGCTTAAGCTAAGAGCCAAAAATTTCTATGGGTCTTTGTGTTAAGAAGGTAGCCTGCATTTTGACCCTTTTTCTGCACTGCTACACAGGTGCATTTGCTGTACTCAATCAAATACTCTGCGGTGTCTATTCCTCTTAACGATCCATTCAGCCTAGGCCTGCCAAAAATACACATTATTAATGCGAAAAAACACATAATCACTAGTATATGCAATTTCAGTTTCATAGACTAGCCCCAGCATAAAAGGGGAAGAAAAACTTCCCCATGTCCATTGTAGGGTTAAACAGTTTGTGTGTTGAGCATGACCATCTATCACCATGGTTGTAGGTTGGAACTCCTGTTAACCTCTATTATTATCATTTCAGCATCTTTCTTAATTGGTTACATTTTATGTGATGAAATTTTGTAGTGGCTGGAAATTTATTTTTGCAATGTTCTGGAATATCATTACCTTTTTCTTGAAAATCCCATTATTTAAACCCTATCCTGCTGTATCTGCCTTTGATTTGCTGCTAGTGTGTAAACTGCCAAGGATGGCTGGCTTCTGAGAACTGATGTGATTAACATCTCACACTTAGTTTTCAGAAAAATGCCTTCAGTTTTGTATTAAGCATCACCATCAACATTGTTGTCGCCAGCCAAGCACGGGAATTGGCAACAGCCCGTCCGTGACCCTGGCTGGCTGGGAGGGAAGGTCCAGTCAACTGTCCGTCCTGGGTCCTTTTTTTAGGCCACCACAGGCTGATCCGGTCTGTGGGGGGGGGGGGGGGGGGGGGGGGAAGGGACTCGGACCACATGCATGCCATGCAATGAAATGACACAAACTCACCCTAATATTGCATTGGATAGACTCCGTCTTTGCCCTATAACAAGCACATCAATTCCATGCGCTGTGCTGTGAAAAATAATAACAGAAGCCTTGTCCTTGCTGCCCATTTCCACCTTCTCTGCATGCACACGTAGCTTTGGCTGTGCAATCTCGCAGGTTCGCCTCATTGCTTCAAGAAAGTCTGAATCTCCTCCGCCTACTTCAGCTGATGAAGGGGAGGTGACTGAGGCAGCCGGTGATGGCAGTTTGAAGAACGGAAATGTGTTCTTCCAGGAGTTGGGGTTCTCAATATGGAGGAGAATTAAGGTGTCATTCTCAAGCACTACATGGGACAGAGCATATTGGAGTGCAGTATCTGACTCGCGGGTTGGGTCCACAACCACCATCACTTTACGTGCTGGTGCTGGTGCGGTCCCACCTTGCATGGTCTACGGAACCACCACGTGCCACCATAAACGGCTGCTGCCACCACCACCGCCACCACTGTTTCAAGGGTGGAAAAATATTGGGTAATACTGGAATGGAAGGGTGATACCAAATGTAATGTTAGGTAGTCGTTTTGAGGGTTTTGCGTTTCATCAAACAGTTAGATATCACTTTTGTGATTCACAAACTCATGCCCTTGTGGGTATTGGCTAATTTGGGGAATTGGGTATTTTTAGGAGCATGACCATGTCAAGACGTTGCTAACCATCACAACGGCTTTTTTATTACAATTCAACAGCCATTTCACGGGTGATTGGCTTATAGCACTTCTTAGTTATTTCGAAGTTACTACTAGGAGATTTCATATTAAAAAGAGCAAAACAGGAAGAGAGGAAAATTTCCATGAAATCCAACACACAAGTGCCCTTATGATACCCCACCCCACCCTTGTCGTGTGTGTCGAAAAAAATGAAATGGCATAACCATGTGTTCTAGGTTTTGTTCCAACTCCGTGTTCAAAAAATTAAAGATGTGCTCTTTATAGACTTGGACTTCAGTCTCATCCCGTGTTAAGATTTGTTTGTCCACAAATGAGAAATTTTTCCAATAGAGAAAAGATTAGTTAGAGTCTCATCCCGTCTATTTGAACGTAAACAAGTGCAACGAAATTAGATAGAGTCGCTCAAGGCATCTCCAATCCCACTGTCACAAATTGTCGCCGCATTGTTCAACTTATTCTTCTATATATATATGTAACATTTTGTACCTAGACAAATATATCTTAATGACTTTCGGATTAATAATGGAAGATGCAAATATAAACATGAACCAGATAGTGGCATTAATAAAGGTAAGATATTACTGACCAAAGAAGAAAAGGTAAGGTACATCCGATTTAATTTGAGCTGCCATTGGAATGATAAGCATTTGTAAATGTTGGGCATGTATCACAATGCAAGTCTTAGTGAGTGGTAACTACGAGAGTAAAAATTCTTACATTAGCCAAAGTGATCTACATACATTTTATTTACAAGCCCAAAAACATTTAAGCTTGAAAACAACTTGCTGGAGTAAAAATAGATGAGGCATAAATCAAAACAAAATTCATTATCAATTAGTGTTTTGGGACCTTTCAAATTGTTCATATATTTTGGCATACTCAACATGTCACTATTGACACAATTTTAGTTTAATACTGCTCTAGACCTCACAATGAAAATAATATTTTCAATACAATTCTTAGGAAACAAAATAGATAGACATCAACTAATAGATAGATATCAACTAAGGAATATAATATTTGGCTTTCGTGCACGGCCACAACCCCTTAGATTTGTACTTGCTGGACAATTTATATAGATTATTGTTGTGTCATCCAAACAAATTAGTAGATCTTTTAATAAAACATGGGTGATGTTAAGTCCAACACATGACACATATATATCACTTCCAATTGTGTTTCTCAATGCAATCTCTAACTAAGTCTTAGTGTAAGCAGTATGAGAACCTGGAGCAATGCCGACCTTTTGTAGAATCCTCAACAAATTAACTTATCCTGTTTGTCTTAGAACATCTTGGAAATAAGTCAATTTGACCATTTTTGTCAGTGAACATATGCCATGTCTATTCCATTAATGTTACCAAAGTTGATCATATGAAAAACCAACACGGATGCGTGGCTAAGCTTGCTTCAATTGAGGCCCTAATTTTGTTGTCTATTTTTGTCTTGGGAAGCCGGTACACTAAATTAGACATAATTGTAAAAAAGTACATAGAACAAATATTTTAAAAAAAAGTATACAACTGAGATACAAAACGTAAATGCCCATTTTGTAAAAAAAATTTTCTTAAAAACTGTAACAAGACATATATCTTAAGCGCTCAAATGTAGGGTCATTTAATTTGAAATCTCTAATGCACCTTGATTCATGTGTATTTTTTTTAGAAAGTAGTTTTGTTTTCAAATTATATTTATGCATTAAATATGTCCTAGTTTTATAGGAGAACTTTAATATTTCGTTTATTTTAAGATATATCACTTTGTTTTGTTTGAATTTCAAAATTTGTTAATTATTTTTTTTATATAATTTAAAATATAAAATTATTTATACTGTAGCAAAAACGTAAAAAATTTATTAAATAATAGTGTAACAAAAACAGTGTTTAGTGATTTTATGCATGTGATAACAAATTCAAAACAAAGATAAACTGTTTTGAATGAAATGATATGAAAATATATGTTTTACAAAATATAATAGTACAACATTTTGTGTAAATGTCTTGTTACACTGTTATTATTACACTATTATGGAGTTCGAATATTAATATAATTTAAAAACAAAATCACTTTCCAAAAAAAAATACGCATGAATTAAGGTATATTAAATATAATTTGAAAACAATACCACTTTCCAAAAAAATACGCATAAATCAAGGGAAGACATAAAAATATGGAATATTTAAGTTCTCCCATAAAACTAGGAGATATTTACTGCACCACTTTTCAAAAAATGATATGCATGAATCAAGAGAGGATATAAAGGTCAGAAAAAAATATAAAAATTTCAAATAATATGTTTGGAAACAAATAAGTATCAAAATTAAGGACTTTTTTACCCTACATTTTTTTCTATGTACTTTTTTATAATGAACTCCAATTTGGTGTATCCTTTCTAATTTTCCCAAGAAAAAAACAGTTTAACAAAGAGAAAGAAAAATTAAAAGAGCAAAAGCAAACTATAGGCCATTAAACACCCATGAATAGTGTCAAGTAAAGATAGTAATGCAATCAGGGTAAAATCAAGAGATAAACTAAACTAATAGAATGTCTTTGAAGCATCTTATTCTACATCAGTTCAATCTAATGAATTTTTAAAAACTAACCACGGGTCCAACTCCTCTGTAGTTGGAAACTAACAGCACGATGTGCTGTTCAATGGGACATCGCTGTTTTGGCCAAAAAAAAATAGGGGGCGTCTTCTTTTGCACAGTGAGCAAATTCTCAACAAGTTTTCTATCGTTCTATTTTCTACAAAAACCCATATACCAAGAAGAATGAAAACATAACAAGGGTTTTGGGTAAAAAGGAAAAGTACTAAACATACGAAAAGGTAAGAAAAAAATTTGGGCATTCATTTTAACTATTTTTTTTTTTACAATTTAACTAATAACGAAACAAGGAAAAAATTCAACAACATTATTCAAAACAAATGTATTTCTGAAAACAAATAATGAAATAGAGCATGAATTCAACTAATATATGTCTTTTTTTTCTTTTGCTATTGTAATATACGTCAGTTTAGTTACTTCTTATTTGTCTGAATTCGCTGAGAGAAATTTTAGTGAATTTGGGATCATTAATTTGTATAATAGTGGGTCATCATAATGCATACCAGAGAGAAAAGTGAAAAGAAAAAAAGTTTGAGAGAGACATGAAGTGAAAGGTTTTAAGTGAGGAGTGGAGAGTTTGGCGGACGATGAATAAATAAACTCGTAAGGGTTTTGAATGTGATGAAAAAGAACATCAAAAACTATGTCGTCTCTTTTTTTTTTGATGTCTTCCCATTAAACAACACAATTTCTAACTCCAGACAAGCCAGACGCAAGTGCAACACAACCCAAATATCAAGCAAATACAGTCGTGCCACCACCACTATGCTGTCATTTTTACTCGTTTATATTTAGCAGTACAGTTATGATAAAACTACTTACAATATAACACACAAGTGTACAAGTTTTGGGTTACAAAAATTTATCTCCTTATTGATGCTCCAATCATTAAAACTGGTGCTACATTTGTTGATACTATTTCCATTTAAGTTCGTCGGCCAGAGACCATGTAAAGTGAAATTCTGAGAGAATGACGATATACAAGTTATCGATGAGTTCATGCACAAGGTAGGGGTTCAGGTTTCCACAAACAGAAAAATATCATATACTTTAGGTGGCTGTGTAGACGTAGGTGTTCGAATGTAGTGTATGAAAAGCAGAATGATAAAAGGTAAAATGTAAACAAAAATTTTTATTGATTTTTGGTAGCAATGAAAAAAGATGGAAGGAAGAAGAAGATTAGTTTACATTGGTATTTATATTTTATACAAGAACCTCTTTGTCTATCACAGTGACTTGGTGCGCAAGCAGAGTTCAAAATTTCGTACGAGTTCGTGTCGACTCTGGCCCAAATATCTGACTCATATACTAAATCGAAATGACTCAGGGTTAACTCTCCATCGAGTCTGAACGATTCGTAATGAAATCGAGACGATTCACAAAAAAAGGCAAAAATCAGCCAAAACCGTAAAATCATACTTTGAAAAGCTACCACAAATCCGTATTCTACAATTTTCAAATCTCAAATCCATAAACCAAAATCTCAGACCCACATTGAGATTAATAAATTTCATATGATTTTGGATTAGATACAACCGAAAACAAAACTCATTCCCCCCCCCCCCAAAAAAAAAGCATACTCTAAATCAAAACCAAAACTTACAAAAATTATTTTTTTGACACAATCAAATCTCAGATTGTGCGCATGTGACATACCTCCAGTTAAGTTGGATTAAAAGTGTGACATTGCATTTTAGTCCACAAATCGCATGAGGATTATGTAAAAGTTTTTAAAATGCAGTGAGGTCAAATGCACTTGGAGTGTACAAGTGAAGTTGCCCTTTTTTTAAGCAATTTATGTCAGAAATAAAAAGATGTTTTAAGAGTTTATTTCTTAGATTTGATTTGTTTGATGGATGATGATGGTTAATTACCATGATTATACCAAAAAGGAAATTACTCTCCCAGAAGAGGATAAAAAATGAAAGGGCATAACCATGTGTTCTAGGTTTTGTTCTAACTTTGTGTTCAAAAAATTAAAGATCTGTGCTCCTTGTAGACTTGGACTTCCATCTCATCCCATGGTGAGATTTGTTTGTCCAAAAATGGAAAATTTTTCCAACAGAGACAAAATTAGTTAAAGTGTCATCCCACCTATTTGAACGTAAAC